GTCTGCTGGAATTTGTCCGACAGCTTCTTGGCTACCAGGTATGGGTCTTTGAGGTTCCCCTGTCCGGCTGCTTCCTCTGCCTGACTGGCCAGGTTTTCGATGTAATTCCTTTTGTCCTTCCTATGCTCCTCTTCACTTCTCCGTCTGCTGTTCTATATTCTATCTGTGCCTTTGCCTTGGCTGCTCTTGTTCGGCTTGTGTTCAGGTCAGTTTTCCTCTTTTTCCTTGCTTTTAGCTTCTGGATGGTGTCAGGAAAGATCCATTCCTTGTGTTGGGTCGCCCTCTTGCCCAGAACGTCTTCACACGTACTGTGCCAGAGTTTCTTGCTGTCCTCCCATTGTGTCTCGATGTCTGTCTCCCTGCCTTCTGTCAGTTCCTGTAGTAGCTGGAATCTGTTGGAAAGGCTGACCTGAATGCTGTTCGTGTGTCTTTTTTCCTGAGCAGTCCAACGTTGTACCTTCTTCGAGTTTTGTTTGTGTTGGCATACCTCTTCCGCCTCAGCCTCATTGTTGTCGTAACCAGATGGTGGTCTGATGACACGTCGGCACCTCTCATCACTCGCACATCTCGCCATGACCTCCTGAACTTCCGGCTAATGCAGATGTGATCAATCTGGGTTTCCGTTCTGTAGTCTGGGGATCTCCATGTGGCTTGTGTGGGAAGATGCTTCCTCCTATCACCAGCTGGTTCAAGGCGCACAGGTCTGCAAAGTGCTCACCATTCTCATTCATCTGTCCCAGTCCGTGTGTTCCCATGGTGCCCTCGTAACCAGTGTTGTCTGTTCCGATCTTGGCATCTCCCGTCATCTCCCTGAAGTCTCCCGTCAGTATAGTCATGTCTTTGGCTCCTTCTTTGTCTATCACCGCCTGTAGTTGCTGGTAGAATGGGCAAAAGAATGATAAAAACAAACAGAGTTACTGTGATTCCACATGTCATATATTTAGTGTAGATATAATATCCTTTCGATCTTATAGTAACTAATTGTGATACTTCTTCGATCTTCCTCAAGTTAATAATCTCGTGATCTTTAGTCGGTGCCACTATAGCAGCTTTCAGTATGGGCATCTTCTATTTCCACGATAGTAACCTCTTTGGCAATCTCAAGCTTTAAGTCAAGAAACTGGATCCTTTCTTGAAGAGGGACTAATTCAGTGTTAAATCCATTCGAGGAAGCGAGCTGAAAAGCCTCTTCGGCCGTTTCTTTGGCTAGTTGGTATAATCTCTGACGATAGAATTGATCAGATCGAGTTTTTAAGAGCTGTACCTGTGTTCCCCTCGGTACACTCTCACCAAGTCTATACTGAACAAAATCAAGGTGTTCTTTGGCGTCCTTAATATCACTGGGAGCGATTTCTTTTTCTTGGGTGCGCGCGGCAGTTGAACTGCAGTCTAACAGCAGTGCTGCTAATCCGAGATGACAATACGTTTGGTTTTTTATCTGAACTCTCGGTCGTTCATCTCTTTGGCAGAAAGAGACAGCTTGCTCATAATAATATTTTGCTTTATCCCGCGCGGCCTCTCGCGCCGGCGCATTTCTCAGGTCATCTGGGATAATGCTCATATACTTCAACCAAACGCATCCGTAGTTGTAATACAGCTCGGCCCAGTCTTCTGGCGAATCGTGATTTTGCAGAAGAAACTCGCTGCGTCGAAGAAATTCAAATAGCGGGGATAATTTCACCGAGTTTCTATTTGTGTAGTCTTCTACAAGTAAAAAATAGGCTCTTGCTGCTAAAATACTAGGATTTGTAACGTCGTAATTCTGTGTTTGTTCTGATTTTATGACTGAGGTAAACATAGACTTGCTCTTCTTAGACTCTTTCTGATAAGAAAAGGCCACTCCTCGCTCTATGTTTAAGGCCAACTCCATGTCCGGATTTTCCCCATCCGCAAAACGTGTAATAAAGGCAGTAACAAGACGCTCATGGTCAGCAAACTTTCCTTCGTCCTGCAGAATTTCAAGTCTTTTCAGGATTCTCTCGCACTCTTGTCCGTTTAGATATCCTTGTTTTTCGATCAAAGGCATTGGTGGGTCAACGCCGACAATGAAAGTATCGCACCAGTCAGTCTGTGAACAGTGTTGCGTTTTCCCAAAAGGTTGAAGTTGGCAGGCTACCAATTCCGCTGGTCGCTTGTGTTGGTCCAGAAGGCTGCTTTTTGTCTTTGGAGCAGAGTCTGATTGTACTTCACCCCTGTTGGCACCTTTTGTTTCCCGTCGAAGCAAAGTGTGCTCCCAGTTAGGCTGCTGCTGTTTGGCGAGTAATTGTTGGACTATGACTAGACTCTTATTTTCAATCCTTAGTTTGAAATCTTTTGGTTCTGTGGCCATGTCAGAAACTGAGATTGAATTTTCAGAATATGTGTTTGCATCGTTACCACCCTCATATCTTCTTCGTTCCAGTTCCATCGGTAGGATTTCAAGGGTTTCGTTCGATGAAAACTGCTCTGTAGACTGCTTCTCATCACTACTCATCATGAGTATATTCTTCCTGCTCTAGGGTTTGTAATGCCTCGCAGTTATACCAAATAAAACGCCAAACTTTTGTGACTTATTGACGGAAGATAGGGAACTTTGATTGAGTTGTTTACAATGACAGACAGGTTTGAATTCAAGCCAAAGTTTCTTTAATCTCATCGACGCAAGAAGGTCCTCGGCAGATTTATGTAATATTTCCCACGCAGCCACGCAGTAAACTGGAACAGAAGATCATCAATGTTTTTGCTAGAGTAAAGACGAGACACAAATATGGGCTTTCTATACCGTTGTGGAACAACATGTAAGTGGCAAAAATAATAAAATATATGTGATTCCGAGAAAGCAAATATAAGTACACTTACCAGTTCGAAAGCGAAAGACGCGATAACATGACGTAAATATTAGTATTTGCGGTAAAATTTCCGCACAGCCCAGTACTATTGTAAAACAAATCTGTTCTCCCAATGGCAATGTATTGTTTTCTTCATTGTTTTCCCTATTAAAGAACTGAATGCATAATTTATTATGGGGCTATGCGGAAATTGTACCGTAGTTTCTACTTCTAAGCAAATTGTTTTTTCTCGAGCGACTGTTTTCCCAGAAACATCGTTATAGTGTAATCTTCAGACCTGAAGTGGCACCTCCAAATCAACGAATCGTTCATGTTCGTGATATTAACAGTTTATGCAAATTTAAATTTATAAACCGACACATCAATCTTATAATTCAGCATTGAGCACAAGTCATGCACGTAATAAATTTGTCTCGTGTCCCCTTTACCCTTTACTTCCTGTTTTGTTTACTTTGTCATGACTACAATCATTGACAATTGTCCATTCAGTATCCCACGTTAAAAACTTTGCGATCGTCGGAAAAGATTCTGTTACCTCACTCAGGAAGTGAGGAGAAACACCTGATTACGTTTAGTGTTTCTCCCTACACTTCGGTCGTGCTCTAGCCGCTTCCTGCGTGCTTTACAACAGAACAGAGTACAGACAAGGCTTCTCCATTTGTTAACTATCGCTCTAAGGGATTAGAAATGTTGAAATGTTTCCAATTTACTGAATTCAAGCCACTGCTGGATTTTTCCTAGTTTCAGTTTCTAAATTTACATGAAATTTTGGATACGTTTTAGAAGTGTAAAGTAAATTTTTCAAAATTTCTAACGATGGATTTAGAAATAATCGCACGATTTTGAATGATTCCATGGACGTAATTTTAAACTCCCTGTTTCATGATCGGCACCAGATTTTGATAAAGCGCTGTGGGGTGGATCTCACGAGTTAAACTTCTCAGTTTGCCTTTTCAGGAAAACGAAGAAGACTCAAAATCTAGCTTGATTTCTACTCGTAGCTTGCGAAACATAGAGCGATTATTAATTTGGTGAGTTCATCTGAGTAAAAAAGAATAAGGGAGATGGTAAGTTTTGAGCTCGGTAAAGAAATAGAGGAAGATGTTTCTCGTCTTGTCACGGGCGTGGGACAAGGAAACGATTCAGAGTCCCCATGAGGAGTTGAACACGCGTCCCGTATACTGCTAGAACTCAGAATTTTTTCTTTGTTCCACGCTCGAGAAAAGACAAAAACATCTATCTCTATTTCTTTATCGAGCTCAAAACTTACCATCTGTCATATTCTATTTTACAAATGTGACGCTACCGACACTGCTGATCTTAGCAGTTTGCTGGACGCGTGTCATATAGACTTCGTAATAGACCTCACTCACCGCAGTTGCTGTTGCTCAGTGGTAGAGCGTCGGAGCACGAAATCCGAAGATCTGATGTTCGATTCCTCATTGGAACTCAGAATTTTTTCTTTGTCCCACGCCCGTGACAAGACGAAAAACATCTTTCTCTTTATCTGAGTGCTTCACTCTCTCTTCAACAGGCTTGCCGCTGACCTTGACTGACAATATAGAGCGGTTGGTCGTATATGATACAAACGTAGCAGAATTCAGGGTGAAACATCCGCCTGTTCATGTAGATACCAAGTCACGAGTAGTAACATTAAAAGACAAACCTTTTACTGCTTCTTTGGTTTCTGAAAGCGCAGTCATCAGGTTTCGTGGTCTCGAAAGAGAGATTCGAGACGACATCGGAGAAAGGGGCATCGCTGAACTTCACGTTGCAGACGAGCTTCTGCAGGCTGCACTGGTTTTGTCACTTTCCTCGTCTGTAGGAATACATTTCGGTTTCCCTTGCAATACCAATGAGGAGTTTCCAGATGAAATGGATGTTCCCCTTGGGACAATTACACTTGGTAAAGCTCTCAAAGCCCTTGGAAAGGAGGTGACATTTATTGCAAGTTACTATCGTCTAATTAGTACAGGTACTTGTCGAAACATTTTTGGGATACAAAGGTTGTGTTGTTGAGTTCACGTCACAGCGGACACATGGCTCTGGCGGAGTGAGAGCAGCTGCTCAAAGGTTGCTGTTCCACAATCCAGCGAATCAAACGGGTCCAAAGTTTGACGTTTTGGTTTCTATAGGAGCAGTAGTAGGACAGAAGAGGGCCGTTACATGACCATGAAAGCAAGGGACTTGTGCGATATTTGTAAAGTCAGTCCAGTGGACGAAGTTCTTATTCAAGGTAGCTATAATTATAAGTTAATGGGAAGTGTACTTATTAACCCTGAGCCAAGATATTCAGTCATGCTACCAATCGTCAGTTAAAAGGTGGAGCCCTTTTGATTTGAGTGTTTGAGACATATATGATATTGTAATGACTTTCAGGGGAAATATGTAAATGCCGTTTCTTGACTAATAAATGTTAATTTGCTGGAGAATTGCAAACTTATCAAAAGAAGTTAGTCTTACTATAAATCGATTTCGAAGAGTTTATTCGATAAAATTTGTCTCCACACGCTTTAATTATCAGAACAAAAGAATGTTATAACATGAGGACCTCACTCAGAGCACTCTTTTTTTTATTCATTAATCATAAAATCTCTCATAACGGTGACGTACAAGGTACTTTATATGGACCTCATTCCTCTCTTTTAGCGAAAAAGTCAGTTGGTGATGCTGGTAACGAGATCGGAATGGGAAAGGTCCACCAAAGGGTCGTCAATGGCATTGCAAATGGACGACACATCGCTAATACGGTTGCTACTGACCATTTGATCACCTCGGGTGTTTCCAATTGGGGTGGGTCGGCGTTAGTGGCAGCTCCGGCCATCTTAAATCAGTGCCCAGTGCACTCACCACACGTCAGATGAGGAACTGTGCCTGACACACTTATTGTTACCGAAGTCTTGAACACGGCGGAAATGGTAATGCCTTTAATAAAGTCTTCTCTTTGCGCACCGAATTGATCCTCGATATTAGCTAACTTTAGGCTCTACAATAATTGTGGAACTCAAACATCGGAGGCGTAAGGGTGTGACTCAGGATACGAGAGAAAAAGAAAAGAATTGATAACATTAAAAATTGGAAATTTACATATATCTATAATTGTTTTCTTTTTCAGGAAGAGGACCAACTGAAGTGTATCGTTGGGCTCGGGGTATGTGACGGTATATTACAAAAGAGAGAGATGTCTGTGAATGGGCAACCATTTCATCTCGTCCACTAAGAAAAATTGCAAAGACTGTGGACTATAGCCACTTTGCCAATAGTGATTGCCGAGCAAGACGCGGCCAGACGATGAAGTGTACTCTTCACTTTATTCTTGTGCACATTGCATCGCAGAAAAGAGAGACAATAAATTGTTGAAACTGGGCTAGAAGGACAATCTCAGTAATTTGTGTGATTTAAACTCGTCAAATCGTCTCAAAGGCTTCCGTTTACTGTAACGGTAACTGATTTGAAGGTATCTACTGCCAATATAACTTAAGAGCTTTTTGAAGACCCATATTTTTACTTATAACTATTGAAAAGCAACGTTTGAATGAAATACTTGAACGTAGTGATGAACTTGTCTTTTCACCTCCCCAACCAGGATCACCTTCGTTTTGTGCTGTGAGTGCACGCAGACGCACACCAGGATTGCATCTAGAACAATAAAGATCAAGAAAATAATAATATTCATCGCTTTCAATGCGTTTATCACCTTATTACTGGAGCTGGTCATGGTTTTCGCAGAGCTGTTTGGTATTTTTGGAGCGCACTGAAAATCTTTCACACTTGAGCAGTAGTCTGTGGAGAAAAACACGGTTTGATATATAGCTCTGAAGGAATTGATTATTTTCTCAAATATCCACCTCACTTGATACAGAAAAATATATTTTGTCTGTGTGTCATCTTAATAGTGTGCCCTGTGTCACATTTCAACAATGTTGTTACATGCACGCCTTTCTTTCGTGTAATATGGGAAGACATTCGATCATCGTTTCTACAGATAGTTCTATTGAAAAACCTCATCGCTGTATGATAGTTGACAGGGTATTTTTAGTGACTTCTCCAGACATCTTGCTTAAGGATCGCCTTGTAGCTCAGGACAAATAGGATTCATTTGTTAATCATCTATTATGCTTCTAAGGAAAATGTGTTTTATATCGTATATGCTTTATAAGCCAGTGTCTCTCAAATGCACCTATATGGCGGCCACAGCAAAATAAATTCATCTGTGCCATAGATTCCATCTCATTTAAGTGAATTTAACTCCAGTTTTCTCTTAAGAGATTCAAGTAAACATAAATTTAAAGCCGAGGACATTTGGTACGATAACGTCTGTTTTAAAAATGCGATGCACCGGAGTTGGAAAAACCTGACCAGTATGATAGCTGAGATGGTACATGCAATATGTAAATGCAACTCTCGTTGGGCGGAATGGAACTCAGTGAATTCGCAAAGTGAGTCTGAGAGGTTAGAAATGCTAGCGAATGACTTGACTTGTAATCCATTCTGCGAGAGCTACAGAGGAGAGCACTTGGGTCGTCACAGGTCGTCGTAGACAAAACTCAAATTATAACATAGCGCGCGTGCTTGCCCCATATAAGTCCTATTGAGCCGCTACGAACAAAATCTTTATTTACACACGCCCGTGCGTAAATAAGATGACGTGAGCAATGCAACATTCGCAGCCAATCCGACTTTTCTGCTGCAGCCATAACTGTTCGTCAAAATAACAGTGTGGTGGTTGCCTAGGAGAAAACTGCAAGTTTCCTGCAGTCGGTCTTCTCCAATTGTTCCGTGCACGGTAGCGTAAACATTATTTTGAACAATCAAAACCCTTGATAACTTCGCGTCTTTGACTTTTAAAACATTTTTTAGTGCCATTTGAGTTCATTTGGCTTTGATTTTCTCCATTTTCCCCGTAGATTTTGTGCTTTTCATTCACTGTTATCGCTTAACTGGCTTACATGTCCTCGCTCAAATCAAAGTATAAAATGCGGCGTGTTTTTGATCAGCCAATAGGGACGTTTACTTTTTTTCTTGTGCGTTGTAGGAATTTTGCTCTCTATCGCAATAAAAGGCTTCTTCGCGCAGATCCTTGTTGTCGCTCTGTTATAAAAGAATTTGCTCATGCTTTTAGCTGTGCGTATATCGAGTTATGGATGCACTTGCATCTCTTGCTCTCGGCTGCGCCTCGAGCTACTCTTACGCATTTTTCGTGCTCTCCAAACTTCCAGCGTGCATCCATAACTCGATATACGCGCGCTAAGCATGAGCAAATTCTTAGGTTTCAGGAGATACACTAAGGACTCTTCAGATCTTTGTGATTTTGTTTGTGAGTAAAACAGCCCAAAACAGTCCAAAACGGCAGATAACAGGGATGTATAGGGAATTAAATGATGTATCGGAGGGTAAATTTGTGAGAAACAAGGGAATTGATTAAATTAATAATAATAATGATGACCAAGATAATAAAATCAACGATGATAGTAATAGGAGTGATAAGGGAAACAGAAAAAGGCTCCCGTAATTTGCACATCACACTTTCTCTCACTTATTATTAAAATGTTGTGTTGTTTGTAATGCGCATTGAATTTTTTTTTTATAGAAAATGCGCAATATATATATTAAATATTATAATTATTATTATCATGATAATTAACTTTGTTTTGTGTAAATTGTATCTATTGTGACCCAAACCGTATTATTCTGTGAAGTAGAAATTAGTCACCATCAAAGCGATCGATTGGTGCTGTCAGGCAGCACTTTCTCTCCTATTGCGTGACAAAGCCAAACAACGGCTGTAAACGAGGCTGCGGAGAAACGGAAGCACCACTCGTACACATTCACTCTTCCTTGAGTGCTTTATCATATCAAGGTCACGACGAGCTAGGAATTTGCATATTTATGGTTGAATGAACATTCCGATATAAACTGTACTAGGATTTTTTTCTTTTCTTTGAAGCAACACAAACTATTTAAAACACGAATTCTCTCTTATGGCGGGTAGGAAGTAACTCAGAAGGCTAAAATTGTCCCACTATATTCCTAATGAGATGCTGTTCGATTGATTGGAAAGTGAAAGTGAATCATGGAAACCTCATGTCGACTAGCTGCGTCATAAACATTCTTTAACTTATTAACAACAGTCAACAGTTTCACTTTTACGCAAGGCTGACGTAACGCAAGTTCAGTGTTGTGGTTTTGATATTGTGCAAGGACCAAGTATTGTGACAGGGACATGTAAAAATGGACCAGAAATTAAGTTAACACTTCGCTGATTTGTTTAGTCGCAATAACAATTCGGTGAGTCGCATGCAACACAAGGATTGATTGAGGGAAGAAATCTCGATAGGCGCCTAAATGCGTTCGTGACGTCTTAGCCGCTTGTTGATATAACTGTGGATTAAGCAGCCGAGTTCATCGTGGTTTTACTAGACTTTCCAAGACGTCATTCAGAATGAAGACATCTCATGCAAGCTTTCGCTTCCGTCCTATCGTTGTATGTTTATTATTCAACTACGTCTGGTCGTCTCCGACTCCGTTGCTCTTCGCAAACGACGACATATACGAAGTTCAGAACGATGGGAATGTGGAAGAACATCGATTTAATAGCAAAGGTGTCCAATGGAAGATTCAAACGAACTTACACAGACTAGAAGTTCTATCGAATGACCTGGCTTTAAGTATACCTTTAGAGAGTTGCATTGAAGAAAAATTGACGGGACAGATCAAGTATGAAGACCAGGGGGAGAAAAATTCAAAGTTTGAAGAAATACACGAGGTAATGTTTAGCCAGTTTGTGGCTTTCTTAGCAACTTCAATTCGCTTTATATTGAAATAACAAGTCTTCCCTGTGTTCCCTTGAGGACCCCCCGCTTCCTTGTTTTACTTTCCTTGACCACCTGCGCAATTCTAGCTTACTTCGACTGTAGGCTACCCATCGAAGCAGGAAATTTACTCTGTAACCATACACGCTAACTTATACTGGAGAACTCGAAATGTTATTGCTTATGACGTAACAAACGAGGATGATTTCTTATTAAGCAAAATTATTTCTTGTGCTAAAAAATTAAACATTCCCTGAAAATTATGACAATCTAAGATTAAGAGGCATCGATCAATAGCAATCGGAAACATCCCCCTTGAGAATGTGCAATAGATTTTCAATCATTAGACTTTTGCCGACAATATTCAGTATACATTTTCTTTTTAAGGAGAAAATATAATTGGACTTCGTGAATTTACAAATGCTTTTGTCCGCGGTTTTCGTATTGGATCTCGGGTCCAGTGGAATCTTTTCAGGTTTGCTTGTAGTTGACATTACCAAGTTTGGTAGCCCAAAACATATACTATCAATCAGAAATGAATAATTAAACAGAAATTGTTAAACGAGATGTTCGATGTTCGGCGTCTGTCCTAGGAGTCATCGATGATAAATGTCAGGAATGGACATGCGTATTTTTTTTATTTCTATTTTTGAGTAACTTCCGCAATACCTGCACCTCAGCAAGACTAAAAACTTAACTGCCAAGTTTCGAAACCTATTATGGTAAATGAAAACTAACTTTTAACAATTGACTTAGCTCAAATCACTACACAAAGCATACCGATTCCAACACAGATTAAAAATACATAGAGATAAAAGATAAATAAAATAATAAAGAATGTAACAGTATATCGATTTATGGTGAGGAAAGGTTAGGGTTATTCAAATATGACACCTAAAATATCTGTCTGGTTATTAAGGCTGCCGACCGTTTGCTTTTTAAGTGATTAATTATGCAGCTGTGTTTGCTATGGTTAAGAATATATGAAAGTCATATTCTGGTTATTTAGAACCAACTTCATGACCAGCTCCCAGTTGGCTTGTTAGCTCAGTTGGTAGAGCGCTGCACAGGTATCGCAGAGGTCATGGGTTCAAATCCCGTTCAGGCCTGAATTTTTTTCAGGCCTTGTTTTCACTACTGCCTAAGTAGTGCACATTACTGCAAGGATCACTTTCATTCATGTGTTTGTTATGCCACCAAACTAATATTTAGTCCTTAGGCATTTTCGCCCCAGCAGAGAAATAAGATGAGACTGAACATAAGGGAGGATGTGACAGGGCAGAGAATGATATATCGAAAGTGCTATTAGGGGGAAAAACTCGCTGCAACGTGTGCCGTACTAAGCGGAAAAAGCCGACGAGTCTAGACCTGTCCTTCTCAGTCTTAATCTTTGTTCTTTAAAACAATTTTACCTCAGCTGTCTTACCCTGAATGACTCTGACTTAGTCGCATTTTTCTGATTGTTTAACTCTAATCTACTGAAACGGACCCCTATAGTCCACGTATTAACCATTGGTAGGCTCGAGTGGGCATACAGGAAACTGACCTTGGGAGATTATACACTTTTTGTCAGACCATTAACCCAAGCACCTTTTTAATTAACCTGATTAACCATAGAAATTTAATAAAAAACGTCAAAATCAGGAATCTCATCATGATAGATAGAACCCAAACAACTTAACCCAAATGGTTATGGGAAAGCTTAATGTAGACCCCCCCCATGACTTACACGACTGATATTTCATATGTGTGCGTTGATTTTCCCGTCTCACCTCTTTAAGAAAACATCACGCACTATAATAACATAACATAACTGGACAAAAATATATCATAGATAATGTATAGATAATTAAATTATAATTCATTGCGGGATACGAAATCTCTTTTTGACAATCCTAATTAGAGTCAGTTTTTCCATCAATATTATTTCATTTTTGTCTCACTCAGAAAGCGGGATTTCGCCACGTTCATCGATCCAGTATGGCGGTCAGGCCCCACTGTGTATTCGACGTGATTGTACCATTTGAAAACTCTTCCCAGTCCGCACGTATACCAGGGGAGTTTTGCACTCCTGAGCACGTGACTGGAGGAGCAGCAGTTGGTGATTACAATGGAGACGGACTAGAAGACATTTATTTCTCCGTTTTTGAGGGAAGAAGTGTCTTGTACAAAAACAATGGTAAGTCATAGATCCATAATTACCTAAGAAATAGCCTTCGTGTAACACAAACTCACATGGCTACCCGAGCTCGTCCTGACCTCTATAGCATGAAGCTACACGAAGTTTTTTCCTTCTTCTGGCTGAGATACATCTTCATTTCGTTTCATCGGGTTATACTATTGAAAATTATCATTCCATATTATCTGCTAAAAACTTCGTCTCTCCATGAACGCTGCAATGGAACAGAGTACATGAGAGCTCGAGACACAATTATCTCGAAGCTTAAGTCTGAGTTTATGCCAATTTGTATTAGTAGGATGGCAGGATGTGTTTTCATTAATTACGATGAACACAAATCCCCTTGCCAGGCTCTCACGCAGTTTTTGTATCTACCCGGGTTTTTTATAGGCCAATTAGTAATTAATAGACGTCCTTGAATTGAACTCCTGAGTGGCCAAATTGCTTTTTGGTTTTTCAAGCTTACCGTGCACTTGAGTGTCAGCCTTTTCTCTCTAGGTGACGGAACTTTCACGGATGTTAGCAAAGAGACAAATATTGGACCCAGCTCTCGCGCTAATGGAGCCGTTTGGGCTGATTTTGACCAAGATGGAGACATGGACCTTTATGTGACAACAGTGGGTGACACTAGGCATTACTTGTACATTAATTACGACGAATGGTTTATAGAGGAGGCCATTAAGAGAAACTGTTCTTTGCAAACAAGCGACAAGAGGAAACTATCTGGAATGACACCAAACGTCGGTGATTTTGATAATGACGGATTTGTAGATATTTACGTAACGGAATGGCTTCCACACACTTTGGGAAAGGTATAGTTTGATAAGTTTTTCACTGTGGGCAAATCATACAATGTCAAGGTGTGTTGACTTTTTACCGACATAATAGGAACACCCGACGTTTATGATTGATTTATGGGTTGCACGAATGCTTTGGACCGATCATAAACAGTATATGTCCTCTTGATAAAGGGCTTGAAATCCCTCAAAAGTGAACCTTCACCAGTTTGGTGCCGCCAAAACTGAGCTCTAACGCTACAGATGTTGGGAGCAAGGCGTAGTTCATGATGAAAAAAGGTAAACATTTGGTGAAAACTGTAACTTTAAATCAAGTTATGCAGTTTTTATTTAAATTCTATTTCAGCCTTCAACTTCTCGGCTTTTAAGGAACAAGGGCTATCTTGCTAGTGGGTGAGTGAAAAGAATATTTATCCTAGTTTGATCTTCCATTATGTACTTCCGGGAAGTGTGATAGTTCCAACTGTATTTCTATTGTGATAAAATAACCCTTAAAGATCGTTTTGCGCAGGGTTGCACGAGGATTGCACGTTTATACAGCATTGCATTCATTAACTCTCTGTTGGTTGGATTTTTTTCAGGTACTTCGAAGATGTAACTTTTAGTAGTGGGGTTGATATGGACAATTATTACCACGGCTCCTCTCTCAATCGAGGCACTTACACCTTTGGGTCTTCATTCACAGTAAGCTTGAATTTCATTACAATTTTCTTCGTATAGTTCTCTATACTTGGTATAGGGGGATTCGCAGTATTTATGACGCCGCCAAAAAGCGAGCGAGGTGGGGGGGAGGAAGAAATGTGCTCTGAAGTATTCTACGACCCAATCAGCCTATCAGTGTAGATTCGTCTTAAGCTTGACATCCAAATTTGGAAGTTTCTGAATTATAAAGAGCAAGGGTATTTAAGGGCTCACTTCACCTGTTTTTTTTTAGTCTGGAAAGAAAGTGAAGTTTTTCGGTTTAGCAATCCATTAATGGTCAATAAACTAAAGAAAAAAAATTTTGCAGGCACAATCCTTTAGCAAAAGTTACCCAAATCGATGATCTTAGTTACTTTTATAAGCCACTCCCATTAGAGATAACCCAAATGAAAAGATGTCGGTTAAAAATCCCAAATGGTTGGATGAATACCACATATGCCCTTTTTAAAAGCAGCAAGTGAAGAAGTCGTACTTGGTGCGACCGATAACACATCCGGTGGGAAGCAGGACCCCCCTAGATTACAAGTGCAGTAACCCAAAGATTCTGATGCGAGGCTTTCTTAATCCTGCAAAACTAATTAAACTTGATTTACACGGTAGGACTTTGACAGTGACGGATGGCAAGAGCTCCTTGTTACCGCTGATTATGGCGATAGCAAGATGTTTTGGAACACGCAGAATAACACCTTTAACGAATGCACGCAGCCTTGTGGACTTACTGCAAAACAGGTGGGTCTCGTAGAGGATGTAAACGAAATTACCCATCCTTTGTTTAATTCCTTGTGGAGGACGTCTCAATCACACATCTTTAATAAGTTTTCTGATAGGTAATGTGTTCAGACATACTTATCTTTTCCATTCTTTCTAATGTTTTCGGTCTTCGGCGTGTGTCGATCTATTCTTCAAGATGAGGAGCTTGTAAGATAGGCATACATGAATCTGTGAATAGACGCAATGTCATCGCTGAATATTCCAATTCGTTTGAATGCATGTAGTATCTAGGCCAAATTAGGAGTTGCATTTGTACACAGTCACTTGTTTGTTTTTAGGTGTCAAATCAATATTGTCGTTTTGTTCTGCAGCTTAAAAAGTTTATCAATTTTGCTATATCCTATTCTGGCATAAGGGTTCTTTGATAACATTTATTTCTCATCTCAGGACGCCATGGGCCATGCAATCGGAGACTGGGACAACGATGGAAATCTTGACTGGTTTTCTAGTGCTATCTGGCACAACAGAACTGAGTGTTCCGTATCAGGATGTAAGTTTGATAACTCTGGGAATGTGTTGTTTCGTAACCTGGGAGGCAGGCGATTTGAAGATGCCACAATGCAGGTACTCGAATTTCACTTACATTGCCATAGTTGTTGTGTGATGTTAAGATTGAAAGACTTAAGATATGGAAAAGTCCATTTCAAATTCTAGTCTCGGCAATCCTTTTCTTTTCAATCCAAAAGTGTCACATGAAATGGTGGCAGTTATCTGTCATTGAATCGTAAAGGAAAAGTAAAATTACGAAATGCGCTGGGAGGGGAGGCGACACGGAGGGGACTGTTAACTTTTCTTGACCGCGGGTAGGGTAATCAATCAGATTGCAGCATGTGCGATAGGACTTTGATAGATTTATGCTAATAAAGCGTAGCCGATTAGTAGAAAGCTTTGTGTTATAATTGTCTCTTTGATAAGTGATCTGACGGATTTCCCATGTTTACAATTATTTGTATTTTTCAAGACTTGCTTCAGCCTTGAAAAGTGTCGTATTTACCCCCATTATGGAAGAAGTAATATATTTTTTGGTCTTTTTATGCAGGCCGGTGTAACAAATGGCGGCTGGGGATGGGGCGCGGCGTTCATTGACTTTGATAATAATGGTTTTCTGGACATCATTATGACAAGCGGTAATTACGTTTAGCCTTAACTTACTTTAAGCTGTCTTGTGAAATCTCTTCTGACACATGAAACACATTCTATCTTAGGCATCGATTTTCCCACAACAACCACGGACGATCATTTTCGCGGCAATACCATACATCTGTGGCGAAACCTCGGGGCTGGTTACAATGGAACAACTCAAGAGGTAAACAAAACATTATGCTGCGACGACTACACTAAGTGTTGGAAGGTTTATTTTCTATTTTTCGTAAAAGAATTGTGGAGCAACTCGAGAGGTAAACGAAACATTATCCTGTGATCACCTAAATTGAAATTATCACTTAGTCCTGGAAAGGGTTACTCTTGCTTTTTCGTGTAAGTATTTTTTTAAGTTCATTCTTTTGTCTTTTACAGGTTTCTGCTTTGTACGGTCTGAATGGCACTGCTCAGGGGCGTGGTCTGTTAAAGTGGGACTTTGATGGTGAGACAATTCATTCCTAAGCCTTTCATTTCTAGGGGTGACCAACCAATAAGTAAATCTACTCTATCATACGAATAAATTATCAAGAAGAAAGATTGAGAGAAAAATAAGAAGATCCCCAAGTGATTAACACTGGTTAATTCAACAGCAAATACCAGAGGTTAACTTACCCGGAATTGTACGGCAGACATAGAGAAATGATATTGTGGGCTTAGGAGTAATGAAAGAACTTTACCTAATACTACGCGAGAATAACGTACTTAGGAAGCAATCCTTTTTTCGTGAAAGGAAAGCTTAGATTGCCTTAGTCTCTTAGAAAAAAAAATAGTTTACCAGCTGAGTGTATGTTATTTGGGCCACAGATCGCACTTTCTATCGGTTTACCGGGTAATAACCCACGCAGTACTTTGAAAGAAAACGAATAGATGCCTTTTTAAAAAAATTTTTCTTGCTATAAAAAATAGGTTTTTGATCAATCAAGGCTTTCTTATTATCTCAGTTAATCTGGAGATACAGTTGTTGTTTTTTATTTGTCATGAATAAGTTACCTTTCCTTTTGCGGATCCTTTCATATTTTGTGGACGAATCGGGTGATTGAGAACTGCAATGGATACATCTTATTTTTTTTTCTGCTTTTAAGATGACGGCGACGAAGACATCGTAGTGTGCAATAACGTTGGAGAACCATTTTTCTACCAAAATCAACAAAAGGAGTCAAACAAGTGGATAAGAATACGTGTCATGCATCGGTAATTTTATTATTTTCCACGAGAGTAGAAATGTAGATTTCCCTTTTTTTACTATGCCACAACAGCGATGCCGAAATTACTTAGTGAGTTCAGATCTGTAGACGCTTCAGTAATTGTGAAGGAATCAAGCCCCAACCATAAAATGTGATATTAAATCATAGAAGCTGAAATGAAATGCTTGCCCTACACTTAATAGCAAATCTTAACACATAAAATAATTTCCAATTTTCCTCCATCTCTTTCTTGGTGGAGGTTAGAAGTCTATTTTGTTTGTAACATTATCATTGCAGCTGCCTTATGCATTATGATAAGTTGTGTGACAGTCTCGGAGCCCAAGTAAAAGTTATCATGGAAAACGGCCACACTCAGGTAAAATGTCTATTCAGACATGTAACATAAGTGTTTTGTACGTACGTCCCTTCAGTAGGATCTCTAGCGTAGCTGCTTGTTTAACCTAATATATAGATTTAGGTAAGCCTAAAAGCGGAGCTCTTTTTTTTTTCCCCGCACATCTCTTCAACAAAACTGAAGCCCCTACTATGGATAAAGTGCGTGGTAATATCAATGGATTTTCATTCGCAACTTCTCCGTGCCCGTGTAGAGGACTGATTATAAGATAGTGCCCGTGGTACAGTTGGCCGCGCATGCTAAAAGTAGCACCTTGTACGGTTGGTCGTATGGTCGTGCATCCAAATTTTTTCGGCTTGATGGGTTACTACTATTTTGTATAATTATAGGGCTACGCTCTGCGAGCTCCGCTATTACCTAAAATCACTACGCATATTCCTCATACTGTTATCTCTACGTTTTTTAATATGATATTCCTTAGCTGGCAATCACTGATTTATTTGATTCGTGCACAAACTCGAACAATGATCGCCCGACGTAATCGAGGAATAACTATTAGAGAATTGAATCGTATATCAGGTAGCCATCGATGGCAACTGAAAAATAGATGTCTTATCCACCCCCATGCAATTGCAGACGCAAGAAATTGGTTCCAGTACACACTATTTGGGTCAGAGTTCACATGCGGCTCACTTTGGACTGGGACAGGACAGTGGTAACGTAACAGTTAAAGTCAGGTGGCCGTATGTAAAAATGGATGTAACCTACACCAATGTGACCCCCAATACACGATTACGAGTTTTGCAGCCAGAGAGGTAATTTCTCCACTCGAAAAATATTTTGTTTTTCATGTCTTACGGCACATAATCATTCGGAACCTTTTGACCAGACCCTTCACTGCTTTTTTTTTCAAGAATCATCCCGAACTATTTCTTTTAGATGTAATGGATACAATGTAAGATTCGACTGACCGCAATTTAAAACATAAGGTCACCTCTGGCAAATGGTCGAAGCTCTAAGAAATGCACTCGATTAAAAAACACATCTACTTCCTCGACACACAAATCGAAATCAGGTGTATCTAGTATTTCTTTGACCTCAAATAGTACTCTGTATGTTTTACCTCGCAAATTCTGCATGTATTTCATATGAAGACAGAGCCCTGAGGAGATTTAACTATTCGACGAGTAAATGTCAGCCTACCTTTTAATTGTGACCACGTTTCTTGTTGATGTTGTTGATGTGATTGTTGTTTTTAACTAAAAATTTTGTTTATAGACCTGCTGACTCAGGAAAAGTGTTTCCATATTCCTCCCTGGACAAGTGCTACGCAATAAAAGTAATGGAGATTACAAAACAGGTAACTAAAGCGTATTGCATGCACACAAGAATCAGACCCACTTTTTTGCAGTAATTCCCATCTAATCCATTTCAACTGATGTTCTTTGGTTCGTATTCAGCTACCAGATGCGGTGTTAAAATTAGGGGAAAGTGACACTCGATATACTATTGGTGCCTTGTCAATTTAAGTAGAAATTAACAACAGGGTAAAAATGAAGAAAAAAGAAAAAAAATTATTCCCCCAAAAATGTTTGCTCATTTTGAAATGCTGTATATCCTTTCGGTGCGAAGTGATTTGAATTGAGATGGAACACTCAAAAGCACTTAACCCTTAAAGTGACGAAAATAAAGAAAAATAGCAGTTTGGGGATTTTTAGTTGATCCAATATCAAATTCTCCAAATTAACATCATGAGAATTGTATGGCAGAGAGTAAGTAGAGTTACTGATGAGATCCTGGGCGTGAAAGGGTTAAGTAATGAAGAGCGTGTATTCTTTTTTCCTAACATGGTGGTTAAGTTTCGAATAGTAGACAACGGATTTTGTAAGATTAAAAAGTACGATAACGATGATGATTTCGCTAAGATATCTTTATTTTTACGTATGATATAGAACTTTTTTTTAGGACTTGCCATATAATATGAGGAAAGGGTTCGTTATGTCAAACGTTTGTTGTATTCAGATTCCTTAATTATCGATACCTTTTAGTTTTTATTGAGCTGCATAATGTCGGTAGCTAAAGATCTAGAGTTCTTCCACGAACATGGCACCAAGAACTGCTATACCTCTACTCTACTGCTATAAGTAATTTTTTTCTCTGTGAATCCTACTTGAGGATGCAAATGATTAAAATGTCTGAGAACTGTTTTTATTTTAGCCTCCTCATGCGACTGTTACCATCAACCCAAGTGGAAGAACAGTCAATTTCCAAAGGAAACCAGGAATACCGCTGGCAGAGATATCCACCGAGGCCTTCACTTATAAAGTGGGTCTGGTGCCTACCACTGGTAATCAACAGCTGTTGGATAATGCCACGTGTCTTGTGATATTTTCCTCTGAAAGAAACTACACTGAAAGTGAGTGTCATGGTGGTAGAAAAATTGGACCCAGGCCGACCGTAACAAAAGGAAGGTAAATCAAAGTTTAATTCTTGAAAATTGTGTCGCAAACGGATAATTGTTGGTCTCTCTTCAGTGACTTGTTCAACATTTTTCATCAAGGGCAGCTTAGGTGAGCTTTTATAAATTTTTTTCTCTAATCATGATTTTCTTTTCTCACTTTCACCATGGAAGTTTGACTACCTTCAAATCTGTAAAGTCGTGAGTTTACCGAAGCATTTAACTATTCTCTTTTGTTTTTCGAAGAATATGCATGATAGGCCTTCTGTCTCAATCTTCTAGCTCGATAACTTGTAGGCATGTTATTTTATATTTTCGAATTCATGATCACAAACAAAGTGCCAGTAATTTCTCTTTACAGGAACGCTTCAATATGACGTGACGTTTATTGTTAAACTCCAGAATGAATAAGTCATATTCTTGTAATCCTTAAATCTTATAATAAGTTTCTCTCTTTAATAGACGTCTTGATGGTACTTCATACAATAAATTCCACGTTTGGTGGGGTGCCGCGATGGAGGACGTGACACGCGACGTACCTGCCATCTATCCTGATGGCATTGCCTTGCCTGCTGGGACATGTTCTCCAGAGGAAAAAAAAGCAGGAAAATGTAGATTCATGGATGAAGTGAATGGATTTGGTAGTCATAGGCCCCCACCGAGAACAATCAGCAATGCTCTCTTTAAACAGGTGAGGCACGTCTACGTTTCGAATGGATCCACGTGTTTGTGCTGATAGGATGTCAAGGGTTTAGTTACAGATAGGTAACTTACTATCTATGAAGATGAAGTGGGACTTTATTAGTTCCTCAAGGTAGCCAATCAGAGATTTTGCTTTTCCATGGTGCTATGGTTCTGATTTTTTAAATGAGAAATAGTTTTTCCGTCTTTTGGCGGAAAATAGTTTCTACCACACCCCAGATGGTTTCTCCATTGCATCCTTAAACTATTTGAAGAGCAACCCCTGAGAAAAGTAATTGCTTCATATTTAGGAAGTCTTAGATCGTATACAGATTTGCACATTTTTTATCCTTAGATCTCGCTGAAACAATGTATTTTTATGTTTTTGCCCTAATCACTGAGTGAAATGAAAAAAGGCCCGTTTTATACAATTATGACAATTGACACTATTGTTTGTTTATTTATGTTGTTTGTTTGCAGATTGAATCTAAGATTAGCGCTAGACGTCTCAATGATCTACACTCTCACTTCGGTCAGGTAACAAATCCATCCATTTATTCAATAGAAGTTTAGTCAATTAACAAACGATTTAACAATGCAATTTTATTTTTGTAGTTCTTGGTGCACGACACGGATTTCTCTAGCCCACTACCTCGCTACGAGTTTCAGGGAGTTTTGAGTGATGTTTGGCTTCCTATAAAAGTGCCAAAGGTGAGTCCTCAGTACCAATTAATAAAACAAAAGGGTCTTCCCTGTGATAGTGACTTTCTTATTTTGATATAATTAACTTATGGACATGAGGCCAAAAACGTATTTTTAGAGGACTTTAGGATGGGTGGAATGTGTTCGCTTTCCAGCGTTTGTCAAATTCCTGTTTATTCTAACCCTCTCTTGTCATAACTCTCACAGCTTTTATCGAATTTGGCTTCGTCGCCGCTTCAATATAGTTTAACCAAACATGAAAAGCCTTAAACTGAGGTGGCTGCATAAGTAAGAATATGTTGGTAGAACTGTACTAAACATGACGTTGAAACAGTATACTTTCAGACAGTGTACCGTAACTTGAGAGAGTACAGGGTTCTCACGTCTCTCTATTTTGGATCCCACGAGCCATCATATAAGTCACGCCATACAAATTAGGCCTGAAAAGGCCGGAACAGTTGTCCTTCCTGCCAGGCTTCTTGAAGTCGTGGTTTACTTTTTTTGAAACGATTACTTTTTTGTTTGTCTGAAAAGTTTTACCGTCATTGCCATCAACACTGTCGCCTTGGTACACATTCTGTGGCTTAAAAGTTCCATTTTTACCATCTAGAGATCGCTTTTTGCGTGCTAACCACTTTGAGATTTAACTTTCACCTAGGGGGATGTGCACTTTGACCCGTCCAACGAAGGCGATATCTATCTTCCGTTTGTACGTTCGACTTATAACAGGTGCGATTTACGTCTTTCTTTTTAAATAAAGATATCATTTCATGTTGCTATTTTTTTATTTTTCTTAGTACTTAAACATCGGTGTGTTTCTCACTGAGCTCAATTTCCTTGATACTTAATTCACTTAATTTTCAATTAGCGTCTCCTTGATTAATTTGTATTCTGATAACTTACAACACTAATTACCAAAACTCCCATTTCTATTACAGTGCATTTAACCCATTAACCCCTAAGAGTGATAAGCATATGATTTCTCGCTACAATATCACCCCCAAATCACACATTTAGGTAATGAGAACAAAGGAAATGGCTACCAACTAGAAAAGCTCTGGATTATGAAACAAATTCTCCTCGTCAGCACCTTAGGGAATGTATAGGGAACAGTATGGAGAATATGCATACTGATGTTAGGGTGTGAAGGGTTAATGGCCGGGAGTAATTGAATGATGCCGTCGTTGTGTGATATTTCTGTAAAGTATCTTTTATTCAAGCAAATGATCTCTTGGTCAATTTTTTTTTGTGGAAGTCCCTGGTAACCATCCTATTTAGAAAGAGTAATTTAGCGTTATCAACTGCGTTTTTAACATAAATTGGCCACCGTAAAGAGTTTCGAATCGGACGTTTTGAGCGCTAGCCCTTCGTCAGAGCACCTGTTATACTCTCCCACAGACGCAGCAACACAGTTTCTTTAGAAACTTACCATCTTAACTATTTGGAAAGGATCCTTTTCTGGAAACAAGAGATAAGTGCCTGGTCCTTGCAAACGCCTCGTTCAGAAAAGGCATACTTTCGTGAGCCCACAACCTGAAAAAGGCCTCTTCCTCCCCCCGAGCCATATAGAATCATTGCGATACGTGATTCCACCTTAGTTCGGAGAGCAAGTAATAGTGCTGCTCCCATGTTTCGTGCGAGTGTTTAGTACAATAGGAAAATAAATCGTGTCAATAATCTGTCCCATTTCGACTCGAAACTTTTTAATGTTCTTAATTATTTAATCATAAAATTTTGGTATTATTATGATTGTTATTACTTTCAGGTGCACTGGGCGTCACTCAGACACTCCGAGACAGCAAGTTAACAAACTAACTTCATATATCGACGGTTCAGTCGTTTACGGTTCATCAGAATCAAGAAACAGAGCATTACGAGAATTCAAGGATGGCAAATTGAAGCTTGGGTCAGATGGACTTATACCGGTGAGTAATAGGTCTCTGTGATCAACGTGACCGTCTCTTCCAATTTCGCACCCTTAGCTGATTGTTTTTTTGGCAGCAGTTTTTCTTATGCTAAAGCAAGTATCATTCCGCTTGTTTTCATAATGAAAATCTGCAATGCATTATACAGGACAATGTATTATACATTTGCATTTATCTTTGTGTAAACGTGAACTCGGGTACAAATGCGCTAGCGAGAGAATGGTATATCCACGCGTTCATTGGGTTGGTTTTGCTTCATAACAGTTCATATCCGCTTTCCCTGGAATTTGTTTCGCATTTATTTTATATTTGCGTCGCATACGTCTTACAAGTATTCCCAGAAGTTCTTATGATTTGCTTTGGATATCAGCATTACTCCAGTACACTCGCGATGAGAGCTGACAAACTCGGTATTACACTTGCGTTCAAAAAGGGAACATATAGCAGTTAGAAAGGAGAATTGAAATGACCATGTTTTGTTTATGAGTTATTTGGAAAAAAGTATATTTCACGTCAAATTAAGTTATACTCTCTACATGATATATCACTGAACTTGCTGCTTTAACTATATTTCAAATGTCAGTCTTAAATTGTGTGTTTCTGAGCAGAAAAACACGATGGCTTTGGAAAATGACAATCCTCTAGGCCGTGATCCAAACAGTTTATTGGTTGCTGGGGACTCACGAGCTAATGTTCAGCCAATGTTAATCGCATTCCACACTCTCTTTGTTCGGGAGCATAACCGGCTCTGCGATGAATACAAGAAAATACATCCTCAGGTAAAGCTTATCTGCAAGGCAAAGAATCATAAAATGAATGCTAATCAATGGATTTGCATGCCTTTCAAGGGGGAGTGTCATCATAAGTAACTTACTTTCAAGCACAACATTTGATGAAAGTTTACAAGGTCCCGTGATTTATTGTCAAACACTAACAATCGAATTTTGTGGCTGTAGAACTATGAGTCATCCTACCGTTAAGACTAAAGCCAATAAAAACGATAACAATTTGATACAATGATTCCTTTTATGATGAAAGCAAATGGTAACATCAGGTATAAGAGGAACTCACATTCTTTTAAACAAAATAAAAAATATTGAAGATATCTAATAGGTTTCAGTTTATACTCTCTCTATTCCACACAATTGCATCGCCAGTCACACCTCTCTATTCATCAAGAGAGCTAAAGGCTAAACTGGTCAGTTGGACTGGTCCGTTGCACATTTAGATTCCCCTCTCTAATTGAATGGCTTACGAAAGTGTGAAAAATCGTCGAGAATGATTCCTCAATCCAAAATTTGACTGGCTAGTCGGTCAGTTAAAAACAATGGCAACTGACCAAAGGCTCCTTCCTATAAATCACTAAAACCAATTCATTATATCACTCAGTAATATGGCTGACAATGCTTTATTCCCAGGCCACAGATGAACAGTTGTTCCAAGCTGCACGTCGTATGGTAGCGGCTGAACTTCAGGCCATCACGTTCCGTGAATATCTGCCGGCGCTATTGGGTGGGACTAAACACATACCACCTCACCAGGGGTATAACAACAGTATAAACGTGGGAATGAGCAACATAATGGCCACAGCAGCTTACAGGTAATGTTCGAATTACGGATCACAGATTTAACTTAAGGAAAATATGCTTCCTTTTGAATTATTTTGGTTATTATTTTATAACACGAGTAGCACCTTTGGGAATTTAAAGTGGAACAGTGTGGATACGAGAGGCACAATTTCCTAGTATTTTCTCATGTGACTGGCAAGCACCAAGATTTCCTTTATAAACATATTTTTAGTCACCTCAATAGTTTGTCATCCCATGTTGGTGATTAGAAAGGTTTGTATTTTGAACTACATCTGAATGTACATGTAGTTTACTCTGACATTATCAACATTTTTTAATTTCCAAACAAGACTTTTTTTCGGAACTGAAGGGAAAATTGATAGACACCATTCGATAATCACAGCGCAGAGGACTTAACCATGGTCTATTTTCTCTCCGAAAGTTTACCATACTCTGCCTTTCTTTCATGCTAGGTTTGGTCATAGCCAAGTTAACACTCACCTGTGGAGGCTTGAAGAGGATGGTTCGATTTCTCCTAACGGCCATCTTCCTCTAAGAGACGCCTACTTTGCACCCGAAAGAGTATCAAGGGAGGGTGGGATTGACCCTCTTTTCAGGGGAGCGGTAAAACAAGCCGCGCAGGAGATCGATTTAGAGGTTTGATTTTTTTCCCTTTTTAAAATTGATGTTCACCATTCATTGCAAATATACGTGGTCATGAAACTTTTTGGCTCTTTGTTATCCGTAATAACTCAATTAATACTTATTCACATTCCAGATCAAGTGAAATTGTGTCCTCTGATGACGAATGCTTTTTCGCATTTCAAAAAAAAAGAAACCGCCGGTTTGGTTGTATTTTCCACTCGGTCAAACTAGCAGATTTTACCAAATTACAAGGCATCCATCATCAGGATGAGTTCTTCTTAGTTTGACCCGATGCAACCATTGTTAAACTGATGCGCGTAACTTTAATAACATGCAATTGTGTTATGATGTTCACAATTCCATCGTAACGAAAGGTTTGTGACTTCTTTTCTGTACTTTTAACAACAGATGGTGGATGACATGCGAAACGTTTTATTTCCATCTGGTAATAAGGCTGGTTTGGATTTAGCGGCTATGAACATCCAGCGTGGAAGAGATCATGGTTTACCAGACTATAAATCTGTCAAGAAGGCCCTTGGATTAAAAGGTTTTTGCTTTGGAGACGTAGTTTTCCTTTCTTAACAGGCATTTTTTTTGAAATGAAATTTTTTTGCTTTGAATTTATTGAATGTGTGAAGTAATTCCTGACAATGAGCAACTAGTTAGACTGTGGCTGAAAAAAACGTGCCATTCACAGAGAAAGCGTTTACGCTTTGAAGAGGGAGGTAGGTAAATCCGCCGATCCGAGTTATGCGTTACTCGCTGAGCTTTGAATTTACTTTAAATGAGTGCTTATTTGCATGCTTTGATTTTCTTCTCCAATAACTGGAGTTTCCTTAACGTTTTTTTTCTTTACTGGTGTTGGAGTAAACTTTTAGCAGAACAAATCATTATTGAATTGCAATCCGGTTCGGCCCGAGAACTGAAAATCCTACCTAACAATACACTAACAACCGACCGAGAAATAGTGTGGGTGAAATATTGTTTGCGTTAATGAAATAACAAATCATTATTCAATAGAGATTCAAACCTTCCACGACATCACAAACAACTCCAGGATTTCCCAGAAGATGGAAGATATCTACCAAGATTTGGACACTGTTGACTTATGGGTAGGGGGTTTAGCTGAAGACCACGAAGACGGTAGTGAACTGGGAGAGACATTTAGAACGTATGTAGCATCCATTTTAATGACTTATAAAATAAATTTTTAAGCGCGAAAATAATAAGTTTGTTATTCTTGGGGAAAGCAGCAGATAGATAAGAGGTATTGCTAACTATCACACTTTCATTCCCTATCGCCATGATAATGACTGCGTGGAAATAGGTTTCATGATAGTGCTCGCCTACAGCTTTTTAAGCCTCTTTGAAAAAACTTGAAGCCTAGACTTGTGAGTATTCAAGTATTCGAGTCTCACACCTTGTAATTCCAGAGTCAGACGCTGCTGTATTGGTGAAGAGCTTTCTGCATACTACTGGGAAAAACATCATGGAAATATTGCATCGACGATCGTAAATTTAGGCTTAGCGTCATTTTATAATATGTAAGGAAGCATTTTTGTAAATGATCCATTTCAAAATTTCAGAATTGTGATGCGAAACTTTTTGAGGATCAGAGATGGAGATAGATTCTGGTATGAAAGCTATCTCTCCAAGGAGGTAATTACACAGCTACTCTTTTAGCCTAATAATAATATTCTCGGGAAACTAGAATGGAAGCTCATTTTGAGTGAAATAAATGCGATCTGCTTATTTTCTTGATTACTCCGAACTCTTTTGTGTGCTGTATTTCTGTCATTTATTTCTGTTTTGAGTCTACTTCTGTTACCACCCAACTTCCTTTGTTTGAAAGAAGTTAAGAGAGTCTGAGTCATTAATAATTTTAAATCTTTATCGACAGGAGATCGACACAATTCACTCTCTAACGCTCAGCAAGATCATCCGCCTAAACAGTGGATTTAAGAGCGCTCCAGATAACATATTCTTTTCCACGGAGCATTGTTCAACAGTCACAAATTTTTGGTGCATTCCCCATAAAGAGACTGAAATAGGAAACTGCACAGATATTCAGCAAACGCTGTGGACTCTAAGGCAAGAGTTAAAAAGGCAAAAGGATATTTGTAGGATTGACAGTGACGTTTCCAATACAACGACACAACAAGAACCCCCAAGGTCTGCTTTATTTTACATTTCAATCAGCCTCGCGCTAGTCGCTCTGTTTTTTCTTGCTCTCTTTCTTCGTGTGTGGATCCAACTTCGGCGAAAACAGAAAGCTGAAGCAGAGAAAAATATTGGGCATGAACTGAATTCTCGTGATAACTTTGTATTTTAGGGGACTATATTAGAAGATACATTCGCTCCTATGAAAACGCTGGAAAAACTTTTTAAGACTGGTTGTTTCCGTAGGAAAAAAAAATAGAGACAGTAGGTTGTCACTATAGAGGACGTTGAGACCAGAAAATTGGCCCACTCGTCAAAAACATTCTGCAGAGATAGCCTGAACCTTCAACCTTCAATAATGTACCGATACCCAGTTTGATTATTGATCTTTTCATAGAAAATTTGGTAGCGTATCATATAAAATAATTGTAATATTTTCATTGTTTCTGAAATATATTTGTAAAAAAATTTATAGAGAGAGTAATCTACGATTAAAGTAAACTCAGAATGTATAAAAATAGGTATATTCATTCAGTCTCAGTGGCCGGTGGAACGGTCTTATGACGCCAAATTCTCTTAGTTGGTTCACCAATTATTAGGGGTTTTATGTTAAACAGTTCAAATATGACTAGTTTAAGACGCTATGCGACGAAGCTTGGGTCATAATGCGCGGAGAAAAATTATTTTGATCTTTATTAGGGCTTTCCGCATGAATTTGCGCACGTGGGAAAGTTTTAATCAGGGTAATCAACATTTGAATATTATCTCTGTTATTTCCAGTCTCAAACGGTTAGAAAAATTTTCACAATATTCAAACATGACCAACATAGAATGTTCAGAAACTCAAAGCATTACCACAATAGTATTTTAATGTTAAACCCTACAATAGCGAAACCAAATTATCAAAAAGAAAAAAAATTGTCAAGAAATTATTGCAGTCGTTAAGAACTTCAAAATATGAAAAAATTGTCCTTCCCAATTTTCTTGCCTTGTTGATAGCTTTTTTTTTATGACGCAGTCGGAAAAAATTAAAGTTGCCTTTTTTTTTTTAATTCGTTCAATTCAAAGCAAAACAAAAAGTTGAAAATATAAAATCGCAAATTTTAAATTTAGTGCTGTCAACACTAAGCGAAAGACCTTCGCATATTGCGTGCTACACTGTACAATCAATTAGACTCTAGTGAACAGTTCGTTCTCATTAAAAAAGCAACGCAAGCAGTTCGGTCCATGAAACGGATTAATATCCTTTATGGCAACGTTTTCTGCTGAAACAACCTCCCGCAGTTTGCGTGCAACCAGCGGAACATTTGACTGGTGACACTCAATACATTCATTCCACAAAGTTAGTTATGATGGAATACAATTGCAATTGCAGTTTTTGTTTTTTTTTTTTTTGTGTTTAATCCATACTTGAAGGAGGTTCTATTTGACTTTCTTCGACAAAGATAGGCGTTAGGTACTTCTCGTCAAAACGAGACCAAACTCTGACAAGCCACGACTTCTCATACTGTCTTTTCTCAATTCTTTCTTGTGGGGTGCTTGCCGAGGGATCATTGACATCAATTAGACTCAATCTACGAGCTTTCTTTTCCTCCTCGTGTTCATCAATACCTGTTTTGATTTTCAAACACGAAAGCACAGGCATAGTAACGCCCCCAAAGAAAATCACGGACACGATGACAATGATGAGAGTTGTTGTCAGCATCATTTGTCGCGGAATTGATACTGTGTTCCTGACCGCTAACGCAAAGGCAATTGCACCGCGTAAGCCAGAGAAAAACATCATATGCTGCACGTTAAGTGGAATCTTCCGCGTCCTCCCAAAGTTTAAAAACAGCGACAATGGGTAGATGTTGAGAGCCCTTCCAACTTGTATGGCCATGAATGACCAGCCGATGAATCCTACGTTCCACTGATGATTTGTAAAAGCAAACACAGACAAACCAATGTATGAAAAGATAAAAGTCTCTGCTAAGAAATTGAGAAGCTCGAAAGTTTGAGTAGTACGCATTCGAGATTCCTCAGTGAGGTTTTTGTACGTGTAATGCTGTTGCGTTATTCCGCAGAAAAGCACAGCTACTATACCGGACCAATTGGAGAGTTCAGCTGCTAGAAAAGTACAATACGACATTAGAAAAAATAAGGCCGTCTCCAAGATGGGAAAGCTTCCTATCTTGGTGAGCTTCGTGACTAATGCATTCACAAACGACATACCGCAACCTATAGTGAAAGAACCGACGAAAATGGCTACAAAATCTGCTATGGCTTTCAAAAACGAAAACAAATCGAAATCTCGTAAGTCGCTTTGGTTGTAGGCTAAATACGTTTCTATAGCTCTGTAAAGAACGATCGCAACAGCGTCGTTAAGAACGCTTTCTCCGAAAACCAGCGCATACATATCCAAGTCAGCATGAAGATCATGAAAGATGGCCAATACGGTTACTGGATCGGTTGCCGAAATCAACGCACCGAAGAGCAAACATTCAGCGTAATCAAAATCTTCGGTTACTCCAGTCCAGACGTTGAATCCGAACACCATCGAGCCAGTGACGATACAGGAAATAGTTGTACCAAAAAATGCGTAGGTCATAATGGCACCTAAATTACGAAAGAAGTAACGTTTCTGAAAACTGTACCCTGCATAGAAGATGATAGGCGGTAGGAGAACGTAGAAAAAGATCTCCGGATTGAAGGAGGATTTAGATTCGATTTCGTTTCCTTCGTCCGGCGGGGAGGTGTGGGGAGGGAAGCGAATGCCCGTCAGGGTGTAGGAGTATTCGGTGCCATTGATGTTGACAAAGACGTTTTTAGGTGCTATGGTGATGTTCCCGCAATTTTTAAGCTTGACAGCCAGCGGTTTCTTCTCCCCACGGCTCTCGGAGTATTTAATGATGGCACCGACTACAACTCCTAGAATCATCGCAACTCCAGTTTCGTGAAAAATCTCGAATCGACGGATCTTGAAAAGCCAGATCATAAGCACATTGATAATCAAGAGCGTGATTAGTATCAGCATACTAAGGCTATCTGTTTTGTGTGTGTTCTCCATCTCATCCTCTTTCTTTCCTTCGAGTGTTGTTGGCGTTTCGACCGCCTCTGACAGCATAACACATAAAATGGCAACGATGGCGCCGGCCAGAAATACATCTACTTTGTTTATCATTTTACAGCCTTTGAAAAACATTGTGTTACTGCTGTTAGCTTTGAAGGTTTTCAGGAAAAGGTTAGAATAAAAACTTCTTTCCCGAGACGAGTAACTGATGGCGAAATCAGTTAACGACAACTTCTTCCATGTTCAACAATTATGATGGTCTTCTCGAGTCTGATATACTCACTGTAGAGGGTTTTTCATCTGTTCGTTGTAATCTTGTGTCCTAGAGGTTCTTAAAACCTAAACTGGAGTAAAAACTCGATGATCTAATGACTTTTCGCTGCCTACGCCGATGGCGATTTTAAGGAATAAACCTTCCGGTTAATCAAACATAGTAAATATTTAATGTGATACCCGTTTTTTCGGTGGAAGTCGATTTGCCCAAAAGCTGAGTAGAGGCAGGTGGACAAGTGAGGCGACAAAATGTTAAAAGTAAACTATTTACTTGTAAAAGATAGCAATAACACTGTTATGCGACCTTTACATCATTAAATAAACGTGATAAAACAGGTTCGAAATATTCCTTCCCTAGTCTAATGTGATGATATAACTTCCATTGTGCTAGATGAGGGTAAATAATGAAGCTATTCCCTTTCTTTCGCGAACTTCTTCATCCAGTTTATTCACCTTTAGGAATCAGGAAGTATAACGTTTTGACAGAAATTTTTGAGATATTCGGCTGTGCCAGTTCTAATGAAAGAGTTTTGCTATAACTAGGACAAACGACAAAACCTAAAGTCGATCTGCCCCCAAAAATAAACCATTTTCATGAATGCAAGCCAAATGTTTTATTTTACTGAACGAGGCTGAAAATAAACATTGAAAAAAAAAATCGTTACAATACACACACACACACACAAAAAAACGTTGAATACTGACCGGTCTGTATGGTGCAAAGAACTTATGCATTTACTTCCACGCCGGTTTTTCGGACTCAGTACCATTTGAAACCAAAGACGTTTTTCATCACTAACCTACAGGAAGCGCCTAGGAAATAATTTGAAGCATCTTGAGCAATGGTCTCGACTTTAACCAAACTTACCTATTCACTTTGTACAGCATTATTTTGATCATGTGACCTGAATAAAGTGACGGTTGAGGGCTGGCGCTGTCCAAACATTATAGCGAATCTCGCTACGAGCCGCTTTTATAACACAAGAATAATTTGTTAGCAATTTTACTTAGTATATCACACCAAGCGTTAAACATACAGCGGAAATTTATAGGCCCAAAATCCCCTTCGATTGAAAAATTTTCCCTTTTGGGTTTAGTTACGGTAAACAAACATAGTAGCGTGTAAAAATATTGCCATCAGTGCTTTTTGTTGGTGCCCCGACGCCGGTGGGCCGGTTACGGTGGGCAGGCTCATAATTTTAAGAAAGATCATAGCGCTGCTAATTCTAGTGCATGCAAATATATTTAAGTGTGTTATTGTCGTAGTTTTAACAGAAAAAACAAACGCAAACAAAATGAATTAGATTAAAGCACTGTGATAAAAATTATGATTTATTTGAGTCGAAACCATCGAGGGTATTCGCTGCCAAAGGAAGCGAAATGCAAAATATTATTATTACATTTACTGATGGTACATATTTATTTTTCTAGGTATTAAAACGAACTGACGAGGTTTGAATGAATCTTAAAAATTCGGTCATACCCACCACGAACATCAACTTCTTTAAGCGGCTTAAGTTTTCCTTCCACACATGCATACTAACTAGCTTACTTAATCTTGGTCATTGTGCATGTCACCTCTAAATAGTGACAAGAAAGTGAATTCATAGAGTGACTGAGGTTTAACTCGACGACACGTAGTTGAAAGTTCGTACACTCTGCTACAGGTTGTTCGCCCACTTGTCCGCGTTCTGGAATACTTGTACTTCAAAAACATCCCCCCATGAAATGAAAGCAGATTTGATAAGAAGTATTTTGGCACAGGACATATCTACAAGCATAGAGTCATACAAAACGATTTAATGATCAGAGGAAGAAAAAAAGCTTCATTTTGCCTGCACCAAGGACAAACATTGATTAAAATCTATCTCTAGAATGAGGTTGTTAAACACACATACCTCAATCCCATTATGCGATCATCGTTGATTTTAAACATTTTCAAGGTTCAAATTGAAACATACTCCAGGGAATTTATTTCTTATTCATCATTATAATACGGTTTTTCAATTTCGTTGTGGTTTTTCTGCTTACAACAACAGGTTGTTCACTTACTTTTGAAACTCCAAGATTCCTGTCTTCTCAAGCTTGAAGTTCGACAAGTAGAGAACGGGGTTAGATATTTATCAGTGCAACAGTTCGCTGAAATAAAACATCAGCACAGGAATAAGACAATCGATTTTTGCCTCCTTTGCACTAGTACGATTCGTCTTTAACACGAAGAGGAAAACTGGTAAGGTCGTCTCGTTCATAAATATCTAACAAATCTGGACTAAACTTGGACATAACTATAATCCCTTTATTTTCAATCGCAAAGGAATTTAGAAAGGCTTCCTTTACTGCCCAGCCGTAAATTAAAACGAAAGGTCTTTCTGTATCAGCTTTAATCATTTGTAAATGGGTTCAAGCGTTATTCCTTCACTGAAAATGCATGCAAGCCTAAATTGCTTTTTATGAAGAAATTTTTAAATATACCACTACCATTACGCAAATGTGGCACATTGTACCTTGGGGAACACGTGTGTTGCTAAAGTTCACTGTAACGCGTTTAAAATAGTGTTTCGAAGGTAAATTAATCATCGTGACATTTGCCCCAAATTTCTTGTATAATTTCTTGCTGAAGTAAACAGGCTGTCCGCCTACATATCTATGTTCTGAGTTCTATGCACCTGAAGGACAAAGTCCCCTGTGAATGTCACATTACAAAATAAGAGCATATTAGCTAAGTAATAAATCACCAATGACATATATACCGACAGGTGTCGATTCCTATTAAAGGGAACGAAGTTATCCATTAAGCAACAAAGAGCAGAAGATAACGAGACCTCAAAACCTCTTAACGATTAAGGAAGGTAACGTTGATTCTCTTCAAGACATCTATTATTCAGCTCATACATACAAAATACTAGAGGGAACGAAATGCAAATGTGCTTCTTTTTCATTTTCTCTCCAGCATTTTCTTCGAAAGTGCGCTGATTAATCCCGTCTCCTGAGTAAGTTTGTTGGCTTGATTTCTTAGTTATTTTTACCAAACTTCGGGCTTTGCTTCCCCTGGTGAAAAGCAATTGTTCTGATGACGATAGCTTCCAAGAAGTTAACCTGTCCGTTGTTCCTTTGCTTTTTCCCGGGGTACCCCAAAATTCATAATGCCACACCTACAAACCTTATAAATTCGGTTTCTAAACTTCAGGCAGAAATACAAAGTGAACCAACTCATTCTTAACAGGAACCTTTAACGATAGAAAAGTTTTTGCTCGGCTTAAATTTGTTTTCCTTTTCAGTCATGCTTGGAGCAACATCCATAATTCTTGCTCTTTATTGCTCAGCGTTGTTGAGGTTTGACTTTGGAGCCGCTCAGACAACAGGAGGTGATATGTCTCAACAACTAGCCCTGTAAACTAATAAGTAACTTTGATAAATCGTTAAGAGACCCTTCTGGCAAAATAGCTGATACATATTTATGGAGAAAATACGTCTTCCTAGCCTCAATATCATTTGTGGATGTGGAATGAAATATATTTAATTCATGAAACAGAAAAATTTTAATTTTTCGGAAATAATTGACATCTTATTCCGGCATGTAATTCATCCAAGCTACAATCTCCACAATTTTAATCATATAAATTATTTACACTTAACTTGATAAATGGCTTAATGGTCATATGGATGCAAAACGAAAACAACACGAAAACAAAGAAAGAAAGAAGAGGAAATACATAACAAGTCAAAAAACAACTAACACACACACAAAAAAATTAACAAATCATAGAAAAACGAAAATAGTTGGCGGTGGTTTTCTGCAAGGCTCACAAAATAATGAATATCGTCAGCAATTCGAACTGGTTTCTACGATCGCTTTTGCTGGTTTCTCAATACTTAACATTTTTATTTTCACATTTTTTGTTTTCATCAGGCAACCAGTGCGACCAACTATTAGATTTTGAGGACATAAATCAGCTAAACTGCTTCTCAGCTTCTGGAGGCGGTTCACGATCCTTATCTACAGAAGAGGCAAAGAGTGGTCAGCGTTCTCTCAAGTGGGTGGGCGCCACAGCTGGTTCGTCGGAGCTAGCTTATACCAGGCCTTCCTCATCTATTATTACAGGAAATAAACTCAAGCGGGGAGGTATGAAGTTGTGGCTATACAAGAAAGAGACTTCCGATGGGAAGATTTTGACTGTTAATCTACGAGATGAAACTCAGAAGACTTCGTTTGGAGCTTTTAATGTCAATCTCGGATTTAAAGGCTGGAGAGCTGTATGGGTGGCATACTCCGAATGTAAATCATCGTCAATCACTACCTTAAGTTCCTACAGGTTGAGTAAAGTCACCTTTTCAGTGAGCCATAAAGATACCATCTATTTTGATTTGATTGACTTTGTGGAACATATGAGCTTCCAAACTCGCGATAAAATAGTTCCTCCAATCAACCAGCAGGGATATGACAAGACTGAAATCAACACCGCTCGGCAATTATATCGTTGGAGTACAAAGCAGCCTACCAATCTTCCTACAACGGTCGATCCATCTAAAACAGAAGGTCTCAATCATATCGAAAGTCGTCTTCGAAATTTCTACTGCAGTGAAGAAAAAACCAGTTACGATTTCACCGGGTTTCTCGATAAACGCTGGAAGTCACTGACGAAAAGTATTGATAAGGCACACGAGCAATATGATAAACTCATATTTAAAACAGCACCAGGAGGGAAAAGAGTGATTAGTGGCCCTTCACTGTTTTGCTATGGCTGTAAAAAGGGAACAACAAAGTATTCCGCCGCGGATCAAACGAGAAAGTTTAGCTTTGTCATGGCAAATATTATGCTTCCATTGGCGCAGGAGTATTATTTACGGTCCCGCCAGGTTGAGATAGATAAGACAGCGGGCAAGGAATTAAAAAAACTAGGCTCTTCTGCTTCCGCTAAGGTAAAAAAATCTCTTAAACGAATCGCTGGAAAGCACAAACCCAGACAGGACGAGTTCCTTAACTACCTAAAATCCAAGGGAAAGCCTTACACAAAAGCGAAAGTCCGTGAGTCATTAGAATATATAAACAAAGCTCGTCTTCAACGGGTCATAAATTTGTTGGATTTCGTCGAAGACCAAGGTTGGACGGATGGTAGTGCCATTGGCTCCATAAGAGGAGATTTGAACCAGAATGGAGCTGGATACATGCATACCCTTTTCCTTCTCAAGAAGTCTCTTCATGAAAACAATGCAAACAAGACCAGACTTCTAAATTTAGTCAATGCCGCTAAATGGTACAACTACTTTGGAGAGGTGTACCAAAGCACGTACGAGTACAAGGGAACAAACGCCGATAGAATGATTACGACAATGCTTTTTCGTCTTTTGACTGTTTTGATGATGCCCATAGATACTCCTGATGAACAGAAGGCAAGGCAAAGAGACATGGATGCTTTGAAACTATGGATGGAGAATGCTTTAGCGGTCAACAAAGCATTCGGAGGAGTTATCAAGCCGGATTTTACTGGTTTTCATCACATGGGGTTCTATGCATCCGCATATATACCTCAAGCACTGCATACAGCAGCGCAACTGCAGTACTTATTAGAAGGAACTGACTATGCTTTATCAAGCACTGCTAAGCAAAATTTACTCAAGACCCTAAAGACTCTCCGGGTAACAGCTGTAAAATACTCTACACCAAACAGTGTTGGAGGACGCTTTCCTAGCTTTTCAAGGAAAGTCCTGGTCAACATACTTCCTGCATATGCCTATGTGAGCGTTACCCGTCAGTGTTCAAGAACTCAGAATCCATTGCCAAGAGTACATATCCCTGACCTAAACGCGGATGCAACGCTGTTTTTACGATTATATCAGCCTTCCGACAAAAAAATATCTAAGTATCTGGGTGGTGGAGGAATTAGGCGAGGAAAATCATATATGAATACATTGGGATCTTTAGATATAATGATCCAAGTAAGTGTATACATACGTGAATTTTATGCGTTCTATTCTTTACAGTTTAAGACAATATCAGTGCTCGGATTATAATCTAAATAATAACATAGGCGTGTATAACTTAAGCTGGATAAATTGTTTAAAGAGGAAAGCTCGTCACCTTAAAAATATTTTCTCTTTCGTAACACGTTTTAACTCTCATTTAGTAAACCGCGATTCTGTCAGGTTTCTCAAAGATTGCAGATTTTATTTTTCATATCATTTACGGACCTTTTGGAAAGTAATTGTCCTTTAGTATCTTCCATTCAACTTTAAATATGTCCCGCGGTTGAAATATCTTTTTTATTATTGAAATAGTAAAATTGAAACTATATTCCTCATAACAGGCACACAACAAAGCCGTTGAGAAGGGTATGTCTGCAGAATCCTCTCCAAATGGTCATTGGTCTAAGAACTTTGCAGCTCTTTCCGTACATCGTCGCGAAGATTGGGCAGTTACCGTTAAAGGCTTCAACAAATTTGTTTGGGATTTTGAAATGGGTCCTTCAGAAAACCCTAACGGTATCTTCCAAAGTTATGGTCAAATGCTTATAGCTAACAGCGAGGGGTCCCTTTTAGCGCATAATGTAGAAGAGGGGTGGGATTGGACAAGAATTCCTGGTGCCACTACTATGTCCCTGACTCTTGAGGAAACGCGAGTGAAGAAAGCAAGGTATTTCAGTCCAAGATCGTTTGCTGGTGGAGTTACTTTCAAAGGACCAGAAGCCTTGTCAAACGGAGTTTTTGGCATGGACTTTTACCAACCAGATTACCAATTCTCACACAGCTCTTTTCCCAATATAAAGCTTTATTTCAAAAAGTCAGTTTTCTTTTTTCAGAACGTGATTGTCTGCCTAGGCAGTAATATAAGAATAGGAAACGGACAAGGGAAAATTGCCCAGACAACTCTATTTCAAGACAAGGTTCAAAGGGTCGATACCGGAGGTCAGATGAGATCATTCTCAATCAAGGTAGACGGCGTCGTAAAAGATGGTTCATCTACATTTGCAGCAATGGTTCCACCTTTGAATTCACAAGCAGGCTACATACGTCTCCTTGACACCAAAGGTAACAGCTACTATATCCCGGCTTCGAGTGCCTCCAGTCTCAAAGTTCAAATTGCGAATCAAAACTCAAAAACACCAGCAGCTAAGCCATCAAGTAGTCGCTACGCCACAGCTTGGCTTGAGCACAGTCCTTCTAATGACAATTACGAGTACGCTGTTTACGTAAAAACAACATCGTACCCCAAGTCTGCTGAATTCGTTTGGAATTTTCAGGCAAGTAGTCGTAATAAAAAAGTATACAAAGTCTTACAGAAGAACGACGTAGCACACGTGGTCAAGTTTGAAATGTCTACAGTGGATTGGCGGGAGGTGAGTCCACCTCAGTTTGGCTATGTGATATTTTCATCCACGACAACGCTTCCTTCAGACGGCCCAATCAGGTCATCCAACAAACCATGCCTTATCATGGCTAGAGAAGATGGGGAGTTTCTCTATCTTAGCGTCAGCCATCCTGACCTGGCGTTTCCTAATTCTGGCCATCTCAAGACAATGGAAGATATCGGAGTTCGGGAATATTACCATATAGAAAGCCAGGAAATTTCAATCACTGTGGGGCTGAGAAAAAGAGTGCTCAAGACACTTCCGGCGCAACCAATGGTACATGGATCACCAGCTGAGTACGTGCCAACAGTTCAGGTCAAATCCACCGATCCAAAGCGACCTAAAGGCAACAAAATTGTCTTTAGCAATCTTAAGAATGGCTTCAGTGTTGAGGTCAAGCTTAAGAAATAATGAAAAAGCTCTTCTTCTCTCTTGGGCTTATGAGTTGCGAAGAGGTGCATTGATTAGATGTGTAAAAGTTAGTGGTACCCTCTCTCGTCGCTCTCGGTTTGAATACTTTACATTTTATCTGTAATGAATTCTTCATTTGATGATGTTTGCCAAAGCAAAATAAAAATCATTGAAGATTGCGTCTGAGGTTTGTTTGTTTTTCACTTTAAGACAAGGTTAGAACACATTTCGGCCCATTTGGGACTAGCGTGGACGGTATCATGAAAGATGGTTCATTGCCATTTGCAGCTATGTTATCATCCTTGAATGGAACTGAGGTCAACTCTGTCTTCCCTTACATGTTTTATATTTCTAAAAATACTGTGCGTGTGGTAGCGATAGTCTGGGAACACCGGTGACAAGTAAAATATTTACATCTAAAATTGGTAAGTTGCGCCAAAGTTTTTTAAGAGGGTTGGGATGGCAAAAGTTATAGTCGATTAACTCGAAAACGTGGTAAAAAAACAATGAAATCTCCATCTTTGAGCATCAATTTTACTTTCAGAAACGATCTTTCCATGCTGTGTTAAACTAAGAGAGATATTTTTGCCCTCGTTTATTAATAATTTCCAATGAAGGAATAAAATAGCTGAACGTGTAGCTTACCAATTTCTTCAGGAATCGGCGTTTTTCCATTCAACACAGAGCCCATAGGGATAGAAAAAAAACCAATTAGAAAACTAGACATCTTCCTGTGAGCCCTCTCGCTGAAAGAGGTGAACTGATACTCACTCTTTATTTCTATTGGTCGAAAACGCGTCTTATATACAAGGAAATGGCAATTGTAACTAATACCCTATTCACACCAAAGCTTAAACATGTTTAAAAACGAGGTTTAAAATTGTTTTTTCATAGAAGCTGCTAAAACCGATGGTTGTCACCTTCATGTTGAGCATACAGAAAACATAAGTGAGTCACTACCTCAGTAAAACCTATGGAAAATTAAGTTTTTCTGAATCTGTTCTCTGTTTCTAATTGTCATATAGATAAAGCCGGTTTAACAAAACACATTTGGGGTTAAAGGCTTATAAAACACTCTCGGCTAAGGACTGTTTGTCACAGGCGAGGGCTACATTTCAACAATTCGTGGAAGGTATAAATCTTCCCATAGTAAAAAAACTGATAAAATTTTAAATGAGTTTACTTGATTATAGAGATTAGATTTTGCTCCATCTGTGGAGCAAAAGCGTTTACAGACTTCATTAATCCTCCGTTGTCATAGCAAAGTGATAAAAATATTAGGAAAAATAACCGATGTCAAAGCTGATGGCAAGGTGAAAAATTTGATTTTTATACCCATTTACGCTTAGATTCGAATTTTTCTAATGTCAAGCTCACACACATTTTCTGACATATTAAATCAAATTTGACCAACTCCACACAACCCATTTGCCCAAGTTGTAAACCATGGGCAAATCTATCATTAATTATTTTTATAATAAGGTCAGTGCTAATTTTTTATCGTAATTATCTTATTTATATTAAGAGTTTGGAGTGATTTTTTATTCTTCTGTGATAAGTCTTTGAAACTGATTTTTTTTAACTAGGTTAATAATTAAGGCGGCTTATTTTAAGAAATCTTGAATTTTGTTTTAAGCAGTCCTCAAATTGATTGAACTGACTTGTTTAATGTAACTAATTAGGAGTTAGTATTAAAGTTAAAGTTATAGGTCTAGTGGTAAGAAATTGCTGAGTAGGAAATAGTCATCAGAAATGTCGATTGATTCACAAATGACAATCCTGGCCATTGTCCTCTCTAGAGTTTTGCATCTGAGGGGTTCCGATGTTGTCACTCTTTGTTTCTCTCTTTGCCTGATGGGTTAAAAGGAGAGAAAATATATATCAATTTAGCTTATCCATGAAAATTTTTTCCTAATAATTATTGTAATTACTATTCGATGCACATGACTGATTTGAAACATTGTGCGAGGACGAAGGTACATCTGCAATCACCGTTGTTAATGAGGGACCCTTCTGAAGAGCTTGAGCGCCAACATACAGTAGGAGCCAAGAAGTTTAATTTATCAATAAGATTTCAAAGATGTTATGAAGAAAGCTAACAGAGTCACCCATGCCGCCATCTTGTGTTGGCCTTTCCGTCACTCTATAGGTTAAACAGCAGAAGGAACAAGAAGTATGTGGTTGTCAACATTTCTATACCCAAAGATTTAGCTATATTTACTTCCTGCAAGAGATTATAAACAGTCTATAATCGCTTGCTTTTTGCACATGGTTAAACATGCATATTAATCCATGTGACACGATATGAGCAGTTTGAAATAGAATACCTACAAACAAAGTCTGACCTGTTCTTTGGTTTGTCCCAGCCTTTTGATAAGTATGTTCAGCTTTTCTTCAATTCTCTCCAGTCTGCTTTTCACGGAGACGACCCGATTTGGCTCTTGACTCCCCTATTATTTTGTGCACAAACAATAGAATATTGGATAAGCAAAGGAAGTGTATGGATTCTCAATGCAAAGATAAGCGGTAATGACAGGTAATTCTAAAAGCGTTGGCCATATCATGCCTCAATTTTTAAAGAAAAATACAAATTTTCCCATAATATTAGAAATAGTTAAAGAGTGTTTCACAGAAAAAATTCAGCAGCAAGAACAACAACAATTTCAGTAACGTCAGTCGTTTATATGTAACAAATAGTGGCATAAAAAGTACCCATTGGTAACATAGTTCGGCTTCGCCTTTCTGAAGACAACTGAATTCCAAGTGTCTGAGGGACTTTGCGATCTGACATGCAGACCAGAACAAAACAACCAAACAAAACAAATATGAAAAAACAAAAGCAACAAAAAAACAAACAAAATATTTCCGACTGGTGATGAGATAAGAGCAATAAAAAAAGTGCGCGTTCATGCAGGAGCCACCACGTATCTATGAATCAACAATTAGCAAACCGACGCACTGAACCTATGCTGCGAAGCGCTTCATAGACTGAAAAAATGGGTCTTACTTGTTCTTTTTCCTCTGGTATTTCAAGTTCTCTTTTCACTCTATTCAGGTTTTCTTCCAAGGTATTCAGTTTACTATCGACTACAACAAATTGTTTATGTTAGAAGAAGTGCATTAGACGCAACGTAGTAACGCGTCCGTGTGTACGAGCTGGGTCATCAATACTCTGTTTTGGAACGAGCATGGGGCTGCTGCAGAGGTCATGAACATAATGAAAACTTGAAGACGTACATTAACTAATACGCAGTTGTCTCACTTAGCGATGAAAACAAACAGTGAGAAGCAAAGATGAGAAGTATGTTTTTTTTTTTTATCCAGGTTAGATGGCATTTGGCTGAACGTTGTAACGCCCTAATTGGGCGATGAAAACATTTCGTCTGTGGATTTCGAGTCATTGATTGACTTATTTTTATGTATCTGGTTTTTTTCCCGAGAGACAGGAAATGATAGAAAAGCTAGTTTGATTAAAGAAGATTTAATTGTTTGTTTCACAATATATACAATTGATAGCCTGACTCTACATCGTGAGGCAAACGATTAAACTTCATATATATATATATATATATATATATATATATATATATATATATATATATGTATCTCCTCCGTGGACGATAACATCTTTTATAAATCTGAGCTAGAACTATATATGAAAAAAAACGTTCATCCGTACGTAATTGTTCAACAGATTTAGATGATCTTCATAAGTTCGCCCATTTTCTCGCATGAATCTTATAAACTTTTTCTGCACAATAATCATAAAGAGTTATTTACGAAAGCGTTACCTGTTGAAGGAAACGATCCTTTATATTTCTCTTTATAGCGGTGTGTTATTATAGGAAAGAACACGCTCTTCAAGAAATCTTTGTACTCCTTTTTCCTCCTTTCCTTTCTCTTTAAAAGCAAAAACAAGAACAGCAAACAACTGGTGTTAGTCTTAAGCACAATAGGCGAGACTAATTTTGGCAAAAAGCAAAAATGGAATATAAACAAACGGTGCAACAGCGACCGCTCACAAATTATTAAACAAACAGAAAAAGAAACAAACAAAAGAAACAAAGCCAGAGCAAACAAGCACAACATAAATTCCAAAAACATGCAAACAAACAAGCGAAGCGGAATCGATCAGAAAGAAGCAACAACAGCATCACATGTCGATAAGCTTTTTGCACTGGATAAAGGATACATGAATTACATCTGGGCGCGGCAAGCATAATTTGAGGACTAAAATAGGTATAGGTAACAACATGATTTCGAGTGCAATTTGACTTCAATAAGCACAAGTACATTCTTATAGCAAGTGCTTGCTCACGAGTGTTTATCACACTAGATTTTAAGATAAATCATATTATTACTTGTAAATAATGTACATGAAAAACATCACAGAAACTCGAAAACTTGAAAGAGTGCGTGCGCTATTTGTAACCTGTACTCGTGTTACAACTTTGCACTCGTAATTCATAAAAAATGCCACCGTTTTCAGCCAATCAGACGCGTGCGATTTTTCCATGTACATCATTAATACACTAAAATAATGATGATTATGGCTAATCTTAATTGGCAAGCTCTTTTCCGATCTGATATTGGTTTAGTACCTCCTCTCCGGTATCTTCGTGAAGTCCCCAATACAAGTACACTATTGGCAAAGTAAGTATGTTGAATGGTACAACAACCACGTGCATTCGTCTATACTGCTCCTCCATAACAGAGCGTGAGAATTTCCATTCTATTTCCCAGCCGTTCTAAACAGTGAGGATACAAAAGCAATGCTGCATGAAAGCTGATCATTACTATATCATCAAGAAAAAACTTCGGATAGATCTTTTTTTTTTTGTATAGTTGAGTCATAAAACAAATTGTTTGTGTCAGAGGAAGTGCATTAGAAGTAACGTAATATCGCGTTTGGGTATATATACGAGCTGAGTCATTATTACGCTGTTTCGAGACGAGCATGAGGTTGCTGCAAAGGTCATGAGCATGTTGAAAACTTGAACGGGTACATTAACAAATACGCAGTTGTCTCACTTAGCGATGAAAACAAACAATAAGAAGCAAAGACAACAAGTATGCCTCTTCATTTGAATGATTCCAAATAAAACTTAAACTTAAATCTAGCGGCGTGAAAAACAAACATAAAATCATAGTAACAAATATATTAATATTTTTCTTTTCTGATCATATATATAATTTGCTTGACTAATTAAAACAAACCTTGTACTTATCATATGTCGCTGTCAATAAGGCTACTAGAATATTAACCAACATGATGACTGATAGCACCAAAAAACACAAGAACAGGAGAACAACGATGATCGTAGTCGTACTAGTTTGAGATTCCATCTCCTCGAAATGGGCCATTCCAAAAACAGACCAGACAAGATGTATTGCAGACTTTAAGAAACTGAAAGTAACGGAAGGAGATGCTTGTGAGTGTAGTATGTCGTTAAAAAAAAGCCATGAAATGAACATCATTGTACTAAAAAGTGTATGTGTTTCGTAACTAACTTGTTACCCTACTAGCAGATTTTGGGCAAATGCGCTGCTGAAATGTATTTTCTTCTCGAAAACGAGCCAAATTTTAGGCAGGTTAGATAATTTTTCACTCTTAGGTTAATTCATCAGTTTTGGAATTGTTAAAGGTATTTACAAATAGAGCAATTTTACGTTCCATTCAAGGAAATAAAATAAATTACGTTTTGGCCAGTTGATGAGAGGATATAAAAATCTGATTCTTCATTCTCGACCTTGTTTGAGCTTTAAGTAAAAGGGAAATGACCTACCAGTCGAAATTTCCTGGAACACAATACCTGGGAAAGAAGAAAGGAAAAATCCCTTTGTTTATATTGATAAGGTAAAATGGTCGAAAAAAAAAATAGAATGTTAGTATAGGAAGGAAACAGCAAGAGACAACTTGAGTAGAACACAATCATCAATGATGCCTATTTATGTGTACCCCTGACCTGAACACCACTTCTAGCGATGATCCAAAAAGTCAATCTAATTTTTCAAGCTAGACTGGTCCAATATCATGTCCATAGGCAAAGGGTCCTTTCTCAAAATAATGAGAGAGATAACTTGCTCTCTTTAATAAAACTTTGTCAGAGTCTACTCATAATGTGTTGGCCGTAAATATTTTAAGAGTGAAATGTTGAACGAGCTAGCTCTCAGAAAACATTATAGAGCTTTCATCCTTGATTGACGATTCTCGCTTTAAAGATTGTGAAGAAGGTGGATTTCAAAATGATTTGAAATGTTTGCTCTGTTGTTGCCGTCTTCTTCCTACACCCTTTTTTTTTACATAGTGACAAATAAACAGTTAAAAACAAAAAGGCACAGAAGCAGGTAAGTAAGCGGCTTACTCTGTATAATTTGATTTGCTGTCCTGTGGAATCGTGTACGACTTTTCAGCGGTGTAACACTTCGTGATGGCCATTGAAAACGCCACAATCACGAAAGCAAACTGAATGAGTATAATCAGCAAGTCTCTTAACATTTGAAACAACGCCAGCTGAAGTGGACCGACAACTGAACTAAGCTCTAAGATACTGGAAAATCGTAAAGTAAGGAACAGGGTGTTGAACCCATAGGAGTAATTGGCGATTTCTAACCAGCGATTGTGAAAGGCATCGCCACCGATAATGGAAGTTGCTATTCGGCAAACGAGAATGACCACATAGATAAAAACGATCCCCATATCTAAGTAGTTCCACATGTCTCTAGAATGGAAAGAAAATAAACTGTTATTTAAAAAGTTTCGTCTCGATATTTTGAATCGTCTATTGTGATATGCAAATTGAACGTCGATAAGAGCTGTTACCAAAGAAGGTAGGTTTTTAAAGCGTTTAATTGTTGTCGATCTCACACTAAATTTGGAATTGCTAAAGAAAAGCAAACACCAGACAAAGAAAACTGTAACAACTCCTACTATGCAAGAATCTCGTTTTGCTACACATGTGATACAATTGCAACTTCCGATTACTCTCACAATCAGGGATTTCTGAAAGAAATGGAAATCATGTTTAGGTTTTCCTAAATTATCCCGAAAAATTTCCTGGGAAATATACATTGAGAAACAGAGCTAACAATAATTATATTTGTTTTTAATAGAGATACTGGACTTAAAAACTCAGGTGATCTAAAAAGCTCTCTCGCCTTCTGAACGTCAAGGGTCTACTACCTGAAGTAAACTTTTTCCGCCGATGTTTTATACTGATGGATCTCACTGACAACAAATCCAACGAAGAAGAACAACACCAAGCCCTCCTCAATGGTCGGAGCAACAGACGAACCATTTATGGATATCCAGAAATGCAGCACAATGAAAATCAGTTGCATAAACTGTGTCTTAACGAAAATGACGCAGGGAGTATCCGAGTACCATCTATAAGTTTCTGTAAAAAAACGGGATTAAGAATGGTGAGTTGAATGATGATTGTTATGTCAAATTATGCCTTATCATAGTTTAGACAGTTCAATTGTGGAGACAAAAAACAACTCTTAAAGAACCAATCTTTGCTTGTATTGAGATAAATGACATTTGACGGTGTCATAAGGTCCCTTACCTAAAATCCGAGATAATGCAAACCTTATGATAACGTAGACAAAATCGATAATTTATGCCCCTATGGAGAGAGATGCGTACCTCAGAACTGAGAAAATGTTGGGCGGTTACATGAATAACAACCAGTTATTTGAATCATTCTTTTAGACGTGTCTCATTTTATAATTTACCTTATTTTATATTTACCTAAGATCCTTGTGCAAAGCGATCTCGATTTCTCTCCTTCTGCTTTTTGTTGCTGGTCCTGAAGGAATGCATATGCGATTAAGGGAAGCAATAGGGGCGTCAAAATTGTATCCAGCATCATGATCAATAATAGAACACAGCGGTGCAGCTTTCCAGATTGGAAATCCTCCGATAAGCCATATTTCCATCGTTTTTCTACTCTTTTGAACACAAATGGATGTGATAAGAACTGAGGAAATAACGTGATAGGAAGAAAATAAATACTTTTGTCAATAATGAATTACTTTAACTAATAACCATACTCCATACTCCTCCTTCTTATTACTTTCCTAACTCACTTACGAAGGCGACGCTTCAAGTATCGCAACTATTCAATTAACCTGAATTTGGTACTGCTCGAAATATCCACAAATCCTCTCGTCTATAACCTTTTTTCAGGCTATATGTTATAGAAATCTAGTGTAAAATATCATGCATTGAAGTTGTTTGAACTTGGAAAATAAAATCGAATAGTATTCCAGAGGTTGGGATCAGGGGTCAACCAATTTCAGTTACACTTATGCAAAGTTAGCCTTGATGAAATATTCCTCAAATGACAATAAAATATGTCATGCTTTAATTTGGAGGGGTTATGGCCTTGCATGTAAACAGCCAAATGATAGCTTGGAATGAGTGTGTTCATGGTGGGTCCACATTTGAATCCAAATTTGCACTGTCATTCATCAAAATCGGTTGCCAAAGTTCACAATCTCTGGAATACGTATGCTTCTTTCATGAGAATGAGCTCGAGGTTCTAAGTTCAAAAGAAACCGAAAGACTTTAAAATTTGTGTTTCAATTTTTTTCGGTAGATACACCATAAAAGTACTTTTTTCTGTTGTTCGGCAATTGCGTTATCCGTCATGTCACTGAACAGAGAACCATATCGATCCATATCTTTATCATTGATGCGCATGTCTTCCTTCCTCTCTACTTGGTCCAAGAAATCGAATGCAAAGTCCTGGACATTATCAGCTAGGTTCTCCAAGGATTTTGTGTTCTCTGTGGTTGTTTCAGCCAGATGAAGTAGTTTTGCATGGACCTAATATTTATATTGAGACAGAGAATAAGCGGAAACTAAAATAAAAACATGATATCTGTATGAGATATATGAGAAAGAGGAAACAAACAAGCAAACGATCGGAAGTACAGACAAAAGATTGATGGAGTGGATGAATGCATGAATAGATCTAGGAATGAAGACCCTATACAATCAAGGTAACTTTTATCGAAAGCACAAAAAAAGATTTGTTTTCAAAATCGGAAGTTGTGTCTGAAATCTAACAATCGTGTCCAAATCGGACTCCAGAGTCTAAAATCGGACGGTAGTATCTAAAGTCGGACGCTGGTATCCAAAAGAGGACGCCAGAGGTAAAAATCGGACACCAGTGTCTAAAATTGCATGTTAGTGTCCAAAATCTGAGACTGTTGTCTGAAAATCTGACACTCGTTACTAAAACGGGGACTAACGTCTGAAATAGGGCAGTATTACTTTAAATCTGACGGTAGTGTCCAAATTGGACACACGTTTCTCTAAAAGGACTGTAATGTCATAAAGCGGACTTCGGGTCTAAAATTGGACACTAGTGTCTAAATTCGGATGGTAGTGTCCAAAGTCGGGCACCGGTTGTTTTATAACAGTGGGCTGATTTAGGTATCCAGTGGTCTGCCTGTTATTTGCGTGTATGGTTTACTGCCCTCTCAACAAAATTGTGATTTATGGCTATCAAAAGATCGAACTTTCTTTCAATTTAGTAAGCTTACCTTAAATGCGTTTTTGATGGGGTCTTCCGCGTCGCAGAGAGCATTAACTGTAACTACTTTCTGTATATTCTCCCATGACATGTGATCTCCTTTAGCACTCAAAAAATAATTCAGGGTGAAGGTATCTAAATCAAATGGTGAAGAGCGTTATCACAAAGGTACATGCCTTGTCTTTTCGAAAATATGATGCACTTCCTGACAAAGGGGAGGTTGCAATATGAAAAAAGATGAAGAACGAATAGGGAGAGGTAAATTTTAAAGGATAACAGATTTTCATAAGGGGAAAAAATCTTCTAATGGCCAACGGAAGGTCATCAGAATCTTAGAAACTATACCGTGGGTCAGAGATAACTCTGACAGATTTTTTTGTGAAGTCAATGCTCAGTGGTTTGCTTCGACCATAAGGTGTTTCAGTGATGGAAAAATCTAGATATTGTTGGATTGTAAACAGCGCCGGAATGTCTTTCCGGTAAAGGGTTCAGTTTCTCCATTATGAAAAACAAGGCTTTCTTTTAACCAAAATGTCATGCCAACAGTTATTCATAAGTAGTCACTTGTCTATTGTTGAGAAAAATTCCAAGTCACAGGAAAAATACCATTCCTCAGGGAATGTCAGTTTCGGTGGGGAAAGTCCTTACTTTGCGATTTATATCATGTGATGCATGATTTATAAACAACGGAGCGGAAATACGACCAAAACACATTTCCTTCTGATTTGTAGAGTTTCACCCGTATTAAGATAAAACAGAAGAAAAAATGAATCAAAAAGAAAGAGAATAAATAAAATCCCTCTGAAGATTCTGGTACAAAACTCACGGTGCGACACATTCAACTTGGCTGGGGTTCTAATTTTGCCTAAGCTTTGAGGTAAATAAAGGATGCTTGAGTAATTAAATATAGTTACCTGTGTCGTAATGGACTGGTGAGTTTGTTTCTTCTTGTGGACCGAAACGAATTTTTCCTCTTGTTCCTGCGTTATTAGGAATGTCCTTGCGTCTCATCTTATCCTTTATCCCTGTGTTTTATGAAGGTACATCGTATACATATGAGAATGAAAGTTTGAGACCATCCTTACGTTATCTCTTTTATTAAGTATCCGGTTCCGTGAGCCATCTTTACATCAAGAGATGAACGGTAAATGGTTGGAGCTCAGGAGAAGCAACTGATTGTTGAGGCTAATCGCGTGGATGAGAGTAGTCCGAAGGAGACTGTTGTAGGAGACATTAACAGACGATTAACCCGATGCTTGAGGCATTCGGTTGTGAAAGTTCTTATGCACCAATACAAATAAATTAATGCAACATGGAGGTTCAGATGGCACTTGTTAGTCCCTTTTTTGCTGCCCTTTCCTGCTGATGGTTTTGCCGGTACAGCTCTACTTACGGTTGTTCCCGATTCAAAAATGGTTCTTACTTCCATATCAATCCCAATTGAGTGTCAATATGGGGTAAGGCGAACGTAGGTATATGCCAGCCAGAACTACCCTAACCTGGCATTTATTACTAATAATCAAGAATTTATCAACTGGATTACGCTGCCAATCTTTTTAAATAATTCCTAACATCTCTACCCACGAACACTCTCCTCGGCTGAAAATATGACTTTATATTTGTAAAGGAGGGAAGTAAGAAAAGAAACGTTGTTGAGTGTTTATCACTATTTCGATTCCTGTATCTAATTCTTCAAACAGTAAATTGAATCACTGACATTGGAGTCTCCCATCCACAAAGCTCTGCCCTTCTGATGCGCTTTCCATGTTGCTATGTGACGTATTCCTTTACTGCAATCAAAAAAGAAAAAAATGTATTAGCTTTGGTTTGGAGGAAATACAAGACACGAGCTTTAAAAAGATTTCAACAACTTCCGTAGAACTATAATTTGCTATGCTGTTCGCAAAAAACAACAACACAAGCAAATGCTGGGACAACGTTGGAAGCACCCACTGCATAGGTCCAAGCGTAAGATGTGGAGTTGTGCGAAAGGCTCATCTCTTAAAGCCTCGTTACTAATATGAACATTACACTTCTAGCATCTTTAGAAACTGTAGTGACCAAAAAAATTCAGTATCTTGATAGCGACTTCCCCTTAGATTGGCGAAGTCTTTACTTCAACAATAAATGCTGCAACTTTTCCCTTCTTCGGCTTAAATTATGGGGAAAAAAGGAAAAAGTAGCAAACATTGTGATTGGGAATGAGGATGAAGATAACATTGTGCGAAGGCTCAATAACCGCACCTCTAACAAGGAACTACGAAAGGCTCTGTGTGTTGTTTGCTAGAATGGCTAGAAGAGCTTGGCGTGACACACAAAAAATAAACTTATTGTTTAAAAGTCAGTATTAAAAAAACATTTTTTAGACAAATTTAGTCAATTACAGCTTAGCTTTGGGTAGTAACGAACCTTAAAATTCGAAATTAATTACTGCCATCAGCATTATAATTTAAGTCTTTGGAAGTAGAAACTGGTGGCAACTGGTGGTGCCTCATCACTCGCAATACAACGTAACGGAAAATGAAGTGAAATATTTCCTTTAATTGTATTTTTGTTTCGTTCTTACTTTCTTTTTATTTTATTTCATTCTTTCCATCTACTCAGTTCCAATAGAAAGCACTATAGATATAAACAGCATCATAACAGGAAGACGATACCAGTGGAGTAATGAACCTTAAAATCCGAAATTAATTACTGCCATTAGCGCCATAATTAAAGACTTTGGAACCAGAAGGTGGTGGTGACGATAATGTAATGAGACTTAAAGTACGGAATTAATTAACTGCCATCAGCACTATAATTTATTAGAACCAGAGATGGCAAATTAAATCTACCGTTTGTATCTAATTTTTGAACATAACTGTAGCTTTGGCTGTTGTAAAAAATATAAAAGGTGCCACGTTATAGTCAAGTGTAAAAAAATGGCGCAATTCCACCATGAAGCAGGATTTTTTCACACCACTCGACGACGCTCCTTTTCTTAGACGAGTAAATTTGTACTCACCACTTAGCGCTGCATTTTTTTTCATTTTCCTTCTTCTAAAAGATGGTGAAAAACAAAACAGATGATCGAACAAAAACCTTGTTTAAGAGAACGCTCAGCCTACACACTTGCTTCTGAACTCATCTCTAATGACGAAGTTTTGAAAGTTCCGTGTTTAAATTGAAGTAGAGACAACAACAATACAGCGTTGACGCTTGACCGAGCAAAGGACTTCGGCGGAAGTGACGTCGTTGCTTCACATAATAAGGTAGAAACGACCACTGCAATTATCTAAAATAGAGTTCCAATACAAGACACAATTTTTTTTCGACAGGAAGATCATACCAAAGAATAACAGAAATGGAATGGATGAAATACGAAAAAAAAGGAGTATCGTATCAAACACACGTTTACATTCATCGAATGCTACAACAGACCACGGCTGGAAATCACGTTTCCTAAGAAAGACGAATCAGCAACCGTTACAAGTGCACTCATAACATCTTCTTGACGCGATTTTTTTTGAAAGTGACAAGCGCTGTCGAAAGAAGGCAAGACACAAAGCATATAAAAGTATATGTAAACCATGCACTCTTTCTTTCTTGCTAGCGTTCTTCGTGTTTTTGCTTATCACCCCCCCCATAACATGGAAAACGATTTAATAAACGTTGGAGATATAAACAGTGTCATAACAGGAAGACGATGCCATAGAAGCAGTAAACCATAAAGTCCGGAAACATATTGATAAATCTACGTCAATTGATGGTAATCAAGCTAGTAATATACATGAAAAAATTAATGAGTTCTGACTGACTAAGATAAATGCAGTGTTTAGGTAATTCAGTGCAGAAGAAGGTTAATTCAGTGCAAAGAAGTAAAAAAACAGACATTTTTATTGGTCAATTATCAAAGAAACTCACAGATAGCCAATCAAGTGCGAGCCTTGGATGTCGCAAGATTTGGACACGCTGAAAATTTGCGAGCGAAACAATGGCCGGCGTTTTAAGTAGGTTTTCTTTTGCCACCTCAGTAACAATACAGCAGCTAAAAAAACAGCTGTAACAACGAAAACACTGTAAAAAAGCACTGCATTTTAGTTGTAGGTTTGGAAAAGTGGTGTTTAGGGAAGGGAATTGCCAAGGAAATCGAAAATTACGAGCCGACCAGTTTAACAATTTACTCGAGCGATTCTAAGCCGAAATTAAAAACAAACATGGTTAAACCTCGCAAACGACGATTCCATTTCATCCAAAGTGATTCGGACACAGACTGAACAATTCCTTGAACTGTTCAGCCGGAATTTGAACTTTTTTGCGCCTTAAAGATGTAAAAATATTATTGCATATTACTGTTTTGATCGTACGCGGTTGTTTTGACCGAACGCACAAAGTCACTTGCAGGGTTGAATAAATTATTTTTGCACTTGATGCGCGCACTTTGCGTCTGCATAATTATGATAAGCTATCTCGTATTTTTTCATGTATATTATTAATAGGTAATCACACGATTTTTCTTTTTTCGCAATTCGGAATAAATAAGCACTTGTTAATTTTTTCAAAGACCACTCTTCGAAAAAAATTTGCTTGTGCATATTTATTCCAAATTGCACTCGAAATCATGTGATTACCTATACTAATATAGTATATATTATTGTATATATAGTACTATGATTAAGATCTCACCTAACATTAAATTACCAAGGCATGAAATCCGTTATAACTTATTTCAATCAGCAGTAATTAGTTTGTACCAGTCGCACTTCTCGTTTTTATTGAAATTATAATTTTGTCACGTAATGCGTTCTTAGCATGTGGTACAGATCTTTCGCGATAAGTTTGAAATCAAAGGGCTCTTGGAGCCAGACCATTCATGTTATGGCTTAGGTTTGTATTGGTTTCTTTGACTTGTTGAAGATAGGTACAGTTGAATTCGGTTTATGTGAACTTTCAAGACTTATGGAATAAATTTTTTTTAATTATTTTTGGGCAGTTGTGTGATGAGAAAACTTGTGCATTCGTCGTGATGGGAATCGAAAAAACAATTTTGGGCTGAAGGTGGGACGGGCAGAGCTCGTTAGGCAGACAGTGTCCTTTTTGTTGGTGTATGTGTGTTTGTAGGGCAGAGGGTGGGCTGGATGGGCATGATCAGGTATCAAATGGTGCTCTAGCTGCAAAATATCGCTAACCCTCATCTTTTACGATCATGTGCACTACTGTGAAATATTCCTTGCCCATTTCTTGATATCTTTTGTTTTTAACAAAGCGGCCATTGCATTCGGTTTTTAACAAAGCGGTCACAATCGTTCTTAATGGAATTTCGAGCCTTCATTTTTAATTTTCACGTATTAATATTTGCGTAGTCACCAAACAGATGAGAGATGAAACCACCAGAAAAGTAAACAAATGGCCAGCCACGGAAGCAACGCTTCGCCTATCTCTATAAAAATTCGCCGGTTCCTCGTGTAAGCCAAAAAGAATATAAGGCACATATGTGAAAATCAGTGTGTGTACACCCCTGAACGTTGAAAATATATCAAGGCGAAGGAACAGTTTTGGTCTTGATCCGCATTTTTGTCGACAAAATGAACACACATAAAATGATGAAACGCACGGACCACTTGCGAAGCTGTCAATTGTTTCTCAATTATTGCGCGTGTTAAATATTCAATGGTGACATCTCATCTACAGCTATCTCTACATCTACTTTTATTAAGTTGGTAAATTCTGTACAGACATCACTGTGACACTTGCGACGGAGGAAACTTCGAGGGGTGTCGCTATGCGTGTTTTCTAAGTGTCGCTGATGTGGGGACTATTTTACCGGTCGTAGTGAAACCACGAAAACCAAGATGACTATCAACGGTGTTTATTTAGATCACGGTCACGATCTTAAACTGAAATTACAATAATATTATAACGAATGCATGAATCTACTTGAATTGGTGCGAAAGGCATGAAAGAAACGCTTTACGTGCCTATGTCGATAACGCTATTAAAATAACAACAATTAACGTGAATTAACATAAACAAATCTTAAAAGGCTAAATTAAAACTACTCGAGATTCAAAGATCGGCTACACGATGACCATTTGCGGCTGATTAACAGTCCAAAGACTAAAATGTGGGCGTTACTGTGTGAGCGTCTAGTTATTTCAAAATGCTCCTTTGATTTCAAGATAATTAGTTGTACTGTTGTACAACACAGTACATATGTGCGCTATCGCCCAAGGTGAAAAACTAAACTTAAACATATTGAAATAAAACTAACAAAATCACTTACATATCGGTCCCGCTTGTGCCAAAGGTTTGGAACGAAAGAACGAAGGTACTGCTGTTCAAGGCGAAATCTTGCGAAACTCTGGCTTATAGGGACGCTAACTTAGCTTCTATATGCGCGTGGTGACGCTAAAAGTTCCGATTACAAACCAGTAGAGAAAAGATAAACATTGTAACTACGATCGTAACTAGGCACACAAAGTAATTGACATTTGATCTAATAAAAAAAAGGCTGTTCTTTTGTTCGATATCCTTAACAATCACTCCAACCAACTCGCACGCAAATTGAGAAGACTGTTTGAAGGCTTGAAATTATGTTAAGAACGATTGTGATCAAGAAACGGTCAAGGAATATTCCTCAATAGTGCAAATAATTGTAAAAGATGATCGCGGAAGAGCGGTTGCGTGACGCTCGGTAAGTTGTAAGATAACATGTTGTCACGTATCAGACGAAAAAACAGTATAAATTCTCAGTCTGCATTTTTGTACCCAGTCTGCAGTCTGCTGTCTGCATTTTGTACGTAGTCTGCATTTTGTACCCTGTCTGCAGTCTACATTTTGTACTGACCGGATTGGTATTGCTATTTTTGTTCGAGCGAGCCTCAAGTCCCTACCGAAATACTGGCCGGAGCTCGAAAAAAAATTTAGTGGGATTACCTTGGCCGCTATGATTTATGTGTGGACTGTATGTCGAAGAGCTCCCGATGAAGAGCACAGTGATGGAGTAATGATTACTTTACACCAACTGGAGACGAACGCAAATGCGCGGCTTACCACTGGCTGCCTCTGATGCTCTTCCGCGTGGTCACAGCGTGTGATAAAATGAACCCACTACGGGTTGTGAACATTTCGGCTTCTCGACTCAAGTGGCATTTTTAGAAGTTCGGAAATGTGATTAGAGGTTATTAACATTATTAAAACAAAAAAACGAAACAAAACAAAACAAAATAAAAAAAGACTTAAGCTTAGATATGAAGCCTGGTGGCCGTCTCTTCTTAAAATAAAAGTTTTGGTTGGGCGTGGTTGGAGAGAGTCTTTTCAGGTATTATCACCGCTTCCCCTCCGTCTTGGTCATCGACTCAAGGTATTTGCGTGATAACTTCACACATTGACGAACGACTGGAAAAGTGTAAGATATTTATCACCAACCTATTTGTAGATTTAGCCCCCACGTTACGTTTCCTGATTAGTGTGTTATTTCCAGTTGTCTAGATTTGAACTTGTATACCTTTTCCCGATTGATTTAAAATATTTAGTATATTTGCAATGAACAGCACGAACAACTGGTTCCTGTTTGGGTTTTGCTAGTGGTGTTCTTGATTTGGTTTGTCTCGTGGTCTTGGTTTTTACCACCAAAGCTGTTCTTGATTGTGTTTTCTTGTTTTCAATAATCGTAGAACATCATTTATTTTGTTGTTCACTCTTGCAAACCTTGTAAAAATATTTGGGTTAGTAGTTCTACAGAGAGCTTTTAATCTTCTGAGGTTGTCAGGCCTAAAACCCAAACATGGTCCTTGTTGCTTGAGCGAGTGTTCAAGAGCCAACCCCCATAAGCTTGTCGCAATAATAATAAAGCCATCAATTTTTAGCCTTCAAATCCTTCAGGTATTCTTGATAAAACACTATTATGGAGCTAAACGTGGTAAGTACAAAAAAACAGCTTCAAACTTCACTTAATACATCCATGTTCAAGTCCTTTTAATAAATGAGTTGTACGTCTTGGAGACTTCCTCCTGGAAACACGTTGCCTGTGTATTTAAAAATTGGCTTTGCACACATTAAACGGTCATGATCAAGAATCTGTTTAAGAGTTTATTTAAGTAACCTGCACACTTTATTAAAAAACTAGTTTTCGGGTACGCCACGGCGAAAAAAAAAACAATAAAAAGAAAGTATAAATCTTACTTTGGACACCACGGAAAAATTAAGTGAAATATTAATGTTTTCTGTTAAGGCTAAAAAACTGATATACAAACTTGAGTGGGCCTAGTTTACCTCGGAGTTATATTTTTTTGGTCCATTAGTCTTCTATGATTTAATTTCTTTATTCGTAAGGGTAAGAATTAAAACGATTTGGAAAAAGTACGTGCAGTATTTGAATGTAATTACACTGATCAAAGTGAAGTTGCTTTCGCATTTCATTCCACACTGAATCAAAACTGCAGAGAGATATTCCAGCACTATCATTCATAATCAGTCAAGTATGCCTTGTGTTGTCTGCTTCTTTGCTAGTTACAATAAAAATCCCCAAACATCGCGAAACTTATAAACGCGTCAACTGAAGAAGTCGTGGGATCAATGAAGTAATTCCTCAGCTAATTAATTTTGTGCACGTTGACACAATGCGATCACGTTGCGAGATTTACCCTTAGATTATTTGCAATTATTTCTAAATATTTTCAATATCAAATCTATACACACACACCCACACACCCACAGTCAACACACGCCTTCTGCAAATTCAATTCATATATAGACTCAAAGCAACATATCATCCACTGCAAAGAATTTGCTTCGTGAGAGAAGTTCCTCAAAAAGATCGATTAATTCACAAGTGACTATATTGGCCATCGTTCTGTGAGAAGTTTTGCATTTGAGAGGTTCCGGTGATATGATTCTCTGTTTCTTCTTGTGCCTGATGGGTTGAAAGGAAACAAAAATATCATGAATACCAGTATCAGCCTCACCGAGAAAATGTTTCGTAATGATTATGTACTCTGCTGTTACAAATGTTCGGTTCGATACTTTGAGTGAGAGCACCTGTGAATTCACAGGTATCGCTGAGATGTTGTCCTTCAACCGTAGACATTATCAGCCAATTTAGCAGCCACCCGATAGGGTTACGTACTGAATAGTAATAATAACACGCAAGGAAGTACAAAGGCCGTCTTCCACCTATTACTAAATGATTTGACGGCTTTAGTGTGATTCCCTAATGACTCACTTAACACTTAACAGTGAATGTGCACTATGTAACAGCGGATAGTAAATTTGATTTGTTAAATTTGTGATTTGCTCAAACTAGACGGATGAAAAGCGAAACACTATACCTGCTCCCCCTGAGGTAGATGTCTTTGTACTTCTGCCATTGAAGTGCTCAGTTTTCTGTTGGCTAGAAAGAAATTTGTTGATAGATTTTTGAGAGCGAAATAACGGCCCTGATATCTCATTCTAAGATTTTAAACAATCCCAAGGATGCACCTAAGATTCATCTTAACCCAGCCTTCAACCGATAAGTGAAACGCATTCGAATGTCAGAATGGACAGGGTAGGATGTTTAAATGCGCAAGCAATTTTGTTCGATTGCCCACATTCGTACAAGTAATGGTTTTGCTGAAATGTACGTTATCATAAAAAAAAAAAAAAAATAGAATAGCCTTTCACGAAGAGAAAATAATGTTACCTGATGATAATGGGTTTATTCCTTCGTCCTCTTCGACGAATGATACCCTTTCCTTCGATCTTCCCTTGTTCTCCTTCTCTTGTGAAAATTTTGATAAAGTCTGTTTTGCACCAACAGAATGAGCAACATTTATCTTAATCTCCAAACTTCATTATTTCTTAATTTTAAATTAAGTCACTTTTTGCAGGAACTTTATCAATCTTGCCCAGGCATCACATTTACTACTTTTACATGCAGTGATGAAAGTTATTTTATCGAAGTTAACTTTATTTTATAGACGTTTCAATTACCTCGAAATAAATAAACGTTGCTTTAATTTTTAAATTAAGTCACTTTTTGTAGAAACTTTATGAACCTTAACTGCATTGATATACCTGCCATTGTCCAGTCCTATTGTCTGCTGAACCCCTATTATCAAGCCTAACACCCCGCCCGATATACTCTTTATTTCAAAGATTCCATCTACATTCCCTGATGATGCCGTAGATCGGCGAAAGCTCGGAAAACTCATCATCGTAGCGTAACTAGTCTCACTTGATTTACACATCTGACTTTATTAACCTTTCCCAAGCACTGCATTTGCTGCTTTTACATGCAGTGATGAAAGTTAATTCATAGAAGTAAGCTTTATTTTATAGACGTTTGAATTACCTCGAAATTAATAAACGTTGCTTTTTTGGGAATTTAAGAGAGTGTCTCTGTAAGAGCGGTCCGGTCGATTTTGCTTGAGACACGGATTTCGCTTGTTTTTCGTGTGTTGTAAGACATTCATGTACCTATACTAAAACCACAATCAGTTTGATCGGATCTCTTTATTTTTCCGAGTTTTACGGAAATTAAATTTCACTCGAGCGAAGGCTTGTCGTGACACTTTTCAAGACTTTAATTTCATACAACTTTGGAGGACAATTTACAAACAACTACGGAACTCAGCAAAAAACAAATACCACAGCTATTAACTCTATCTTAACTATCGAGGCGACTTTCGTAAACATCACGTGTCAATCAAGGAAACAGGAAGACTTGAATGACACCTTATCGGTTCGCCTAAATCACACACGCCAAAACCGATCAAATTCAAGGTAAATTTTTGAAAAAGTGAGGCGTTCTTAACTGATCCAACTAACATAGCTAGGAAGTAGGTGCCATAGAAAAGGTAACTACAGAAAAAAACTTTGCGGCCCGACCTTTACGAGAACTTTATAACTCCGTGAACTTACCTAATTTTCGGCAATCTCCAAGTTTGGCCGCCATTTTGAGGGACTTGTCAACATGATGCGTAACCGATATAAATCAAGCAGGTGGATCTAAAACCGTCAGAAATACATACGGAAGCAATTCCAATGAACTTTACTTTCAATTCAAGCGGCAAAATTTGAAATTGTTCGTTAAACTTACAATCCCCATGCGACCATTTCTTTCAACAATTCAAACACTACAACTAGTGTTCGAATTCCCCTCGTCGATTCCACCGCAAGAAATAACCTGTGCCACCCAAGCTTCGACTCGAATGTGAAGTACAAATCAAATAACATAACTGCTTTATCTTCGCGGCAATATCACGCTGGTATTTTGATTTTCCGATCGACAAGAACGGTGATCAGGAATCGATCGGTTTGTTTACCTCATAAACGTGACCGCTGACCAGCCGCTAAGTGAAAACAGCATAGCGCGGGGTGGGGTGGGTGGCTGGCTTATCGTCATAAGATATTCGAATACATGCTCAAAAAGCTCTAGGACTATCAGTCTAAACAGTGAAGGCATGCTTTGTGGTACAGACAACTTTTATTTTATTTTCATAACTTTCTCCTTTAAATTAGAACTGGTATTAATTAGAACTATTAAATAGAGTTATCAATGTATTTATAACCGGGTACCTATATAACCTTTTTGCTTATCATCAGTGGTATAAAATAAGGTGTCTTTTCCACCAGAACTTTTATTTATGCCCCATTGCATGGAATGAACACTATACTTAGAATGTTTGCTCTAAGTAATTTTTTCTGTTCCCAAGAATGTATGCAAAGTGATAGAGATTTGATTCATTCCGCTGACACGTTCTTTTAAGTTATGACGCGTGCAGGTTTTTTCTATCAAAAGTCGCACGTGCAACACACCGGAATTGAAAATTCGTCGTAAAGTCGCACGAACCTTAGAATGAGTGTAGGCAACTTTGACTTCTGGCAAGATTGATTGGATGGTTCAAAGGACCCCCTGAGATTTTTTTCAGGACTATAACTGAGATTTGTTAATAACTATGATAATCGTCATCATTAGCGGAAGGTGCTTTTTGCCCATTGTTGTCATCATTATCGTTATCACGCCGGAAGAAGTATAAAGCCGGCATGTCGCCATACCTAGCTACACAGAAAATTGTTGACTCTTTTGCTCCCCTTGGATCCTGGAAACTGTTACTATTAAGACGATCAACAAGAAAGCCTTTATAATTATTGAAACTTTTGATTAACAGAATGTAAGAAAAAAATCGGTGGGGAGAGTTTTTCGCGTATCTTATAATCTTAACGATAGTTTTAAATAAAACAAATAACAATTAATTCAATTTACCTTAGTTGTCTCGTGTTTAAAAGTGGCGTTTCTGGGCACCGTAGATTCTTCTCTGATTCTTCTCGTCTCAGCCAAGACTCACTATCATCAACTTTTTTCTTGTGCTTCTTACGGCATGGGACATAGAGAGCTGAGGTAAGCGATTGCAAATTTCTCAATTAAAGTAAAGCCCAGTAGCATCCATCAGGAATTAAAAACCGACATGTACTGTTTACTTTTATTATTCTTAATCAAATAAGGGGTGTTTTTAGTCTGCAAATTTAATCATATTGGTTAATGAGAATCATACAAACTGAGGAAAACTGACCGCAAATAATTGTGAACCGTACGCATGAGTAAGCATATTGCGTTGTCAGGTGATTTGATCTTCTACAAAAACATTATTGATTATCAACCGAGCAACATTGTACATATTTCCATCTGTAATAAAAAGCACTTACACATAGATCTATTTTTTTCAACGTGATGTGTACTTAAGTACCCTTCATCTGATAAAGAATTTCTTCTCTTTTCGAGCAGATATATCACGTGACAAAAATAGATAACAGAAAATGTTACTGAAGACTATCTGATTCAACTGGAATAATAACTCCAAACAGCTTTTTAATGTCCTGAGACATGTGCAAAGGAATTACATCTCTGCCTTGGATACGCTTCCTGACACCATCATGATCAGGATACTGACATGTTACCTTTGCACTTCTCCAAAACTTCCCCAAAGTGTGGCGATGCCAATAGCAAATCCACATTTTTTTATTTATCCTCCTGAGAGAGGTGAAATACGCCAATCCTTGCCAAGATTAGCTCATTTTAACCTCAAAACCTCTTTAGACAGGTGGCAGCTTATCAAATGATGTTTTACTTCGTCATCGCATTCCGACAGTCGTACCAAACCACTTAAGCCACACGATGAACCAAAGTTTTTCTATCTTTGCTATTCAAAAAGCAGTCCTGAGACATAGTGAACGTCTTGCTAATGAACGACTTCTTCCCGTACTTGTAATTGTTTCCAACGCGATACAAGTGCGGGAGATCTAAAGGAACTCACTATAACTTTGTATATTCGATACGATTTCAATTTCGCTTCAAAAGAGAAGCCTACTGTAATTCGTGTAATTCTCTTATTTTTCTTAAAGATAGTGAGGTCACGCGTATCCTGTGAGCATGGTGAAGCCGCGAGACGCGAGACTGGTATCTCGCGTCTTCGCCGCTCCACGCTCTCAGAGTTGGGCAAAGACAAGATACGTTATTTCCGGTGCGATACAAGAGGTTCAATGGTTATCTCGATTATCTAAACACATTTATTTAGGTGGTAAAGATTTGTTTTTAAATCTATGAACTGATGCTAGTCCTATTTGGAACGAAATGTATTTGAAATAAAAAAGAATACCAAGTAAAACAAAAGTTGTCTGCAACACGAAGCATGCCTTCGCATTAAGACTGAGAATCCTAATGTTTATCATGATACTTTAATGCATATGTTCGAATGTTCCCGAAAATCTTCTGATAATCTGCCCGCACCCACCCCTCACCCCGCCCCTCGCCACTGAACCGTACTGTTTTCACTCAGCAGCTGGTCAGCGGTCACGTTTATGAGGTAAACAAACCGATCGATTCTTGATCACCGTTCTTGTCGATCGGAAAATCAAAATACCAGCGTGATATTGCCACGAAGATGAAGCATTTATGTTATTTGATTCGTACTTCACATTCGAGTCGAAGCTTGGGTGGCACAGGTTATTTCTTGCGGTGGAATCGACGAGGGGAATTCAGAAAGTTGTAGTGGTTGAATTGTTGGAATAAATGGTCGCATGGGGATGGTAAGTTTAAAGAACAATTTCAAATTTTGCCGCTTGAATTGAAAGTAGAGATCATTTGAATTGCTTTCGTATGTATTTCTGACGGTTTTAGATCCACCTGCTTGATTTATATCGGTTACGCTTCATGTTGACAAGTCCCTCAAAATGGCGGCCAAACTTGGAGATTGCCGAAAATTAGGTAAGTTCACGGAGTTATAAAGTTCTCGTAAAGGTCGGGCCGCAAAGTTTTTTTCTGTGGCTATCTTTTCTACAGCACCTACTTGCTAGCTATGTTAGTTGGATCAGTTAAGAACGCCTCACTTTTTGAAAACTTCACCATGAATTTGATCGGTTTTGGCGTGTTTGATTTAGGCGAACCGATAAGGTGTCATTCAAGTCTTCCTGTTTCCTTGATTGACACGTGATGTTTACGAAAGTCGCCTCGATAGATAGGATAGAGTTAATACACATGGCTGTGGTATTTGTTTTTTGCTGAGTTCCGTAGTTTTATGTAAATTGTCCTCCAAAGTTGTATGAAATTAAAGTCTTGAAAAGTGTCACGACAAGCCTTCGCTCGAGTGAAATTTAATTTCCGTAAAACTCGGAAAAATAAAGAGATCCGATCAAACTGATTGTGGTTTTAGTATAGGTACATGAATGTCTTACAGCACACAAGAAACAAGCGAAATCCGTGTCTCAAGCAAAATCGACCGGACCGCTCTTACAGAGACACTCTCTTAATCATTCTTGAGTGGGTTGAATTTCAATTTAAGCTCTAGATTGTTTACTTGGTACGGCTAGTTCGCAAAAACAAAAATCTACTTCTTTTTAAGTTGACATATTACCTTAATTATGGGTTCTCCTCGCGAGAACGCCTCGCGCGCTGGAATTCCGTAATTAGATGGACATTGAAAGTCTCGAGCAAATGGAAAGAAGCACAAGGTAACACAGAACAGAACGCTTTGCAGACAATCCTTACCGGATCTCCTCGTGATATCCTTTGGAGTTGCTCTATTACGAGTTCAAGTTTTCTCTCCAGGTTCATCATACTCTTCAAGAAGAAGACGTGAAGAAGAAGTCAGTATCAGATAATCAGATAGTTACTTCCTAAATTGAATTCGGGGTCGAATTGTTTAAAGCACGAATGGCTTTAAAACAGATTGGGTTTTCAGTGTGAGAGCCAGGATTAAGACCCGTCTCACCTTCGCTTTCTTGGGACAAATTATATCTGAAAGCCGTCTTCATATAGAAAAAAAAAAAAACAGTTTTAATGGGAGAACACAGACACAATGTGCGTCTGAAAGGTTGTCGGCAAAAAAAGCGTAAAGAGCACGCGACAAACCCGAAAGTCAGTGGGAGTAGTTTTCTGGTCACGATTCCTTGGTCTCATCATTAAAGGAATATCGTACAGAATTCACTGTAAATATGAGCCACAGCAGGTGTGATGAGCTTATTTATATATTTATTTATTTATTTATTTATTTATTTGACTTATCGAATACCTAATACCTACCAACCGGATATCTATAATGTCTTTCGAAATAGTCGTGTGATACCGTATTCTTTTTCCCGCCAACTTTTCCTGAACCAGTTTTATACAGTATTGTGCTATTATGGGTTATGTGTCTCACTACAGCGCCGTCGAAAGAAACAACCAATTGGACATAGGGAGGTCAGGGTGAATTAATTCGCCACGTTATGTGAACCAAATTACCTGGGAGTGATCTTTCCGCATTTTTTCGAGATCATTCTTCACGGACTTGAGATTTTCTCCGAGCTTATCTAGTTTTCTGTCGCCTAAGTGGATACGGGTGAGAGATAAAATAAAGGAATTAACATTCTGCCCAAAGTGGAGGGGATAAGCAATATAATCACTGCAAGGCTGAAAACTGAACCTGTACTTAGTAACCATGTACCTGTTGACGGAAATGATCCGTCATATTTTTCTCTGTAGCGTTTTGTTATTTCAGGGAAAAACTTATTTTGAAGAAACTTCTTGTACGTCACGGTCCTCTGATTCTTTCCCTATGTTTACAAAAATAAAAGTAACAAGAAATTTAAAGTAAGTTTGAATATTTCTTTAATGTTCTTATGTAGAGTAGCTCTAACTTATCGTTCCTAGTATATAAGTAATACATGTAAAGCGAGATACTTGATAAGTTTGAAAATAACCCGGGATTGAATTGGCTTTTCTTTCATTCGTTCTGTGATTGGTTTAAAAACTTACCGTCTTGATCGATCACAAACATAATTAACTTAAATGAGGAGAAACTAATTCATTAGCGTTTTTCCACCCGTTAGGCACTTTCTACTTTATGCCTGATCAACGGTGGCTTAATTTATGCGAGGTAACGTCTTAGAGGTTATTCCTGTCGCAGCTAAGGCGGGAGAAAATGTAGGCTAATTTCGTTAGCCTGGTAGACAAGTGGAGGGCTAAGACGCTAATTCACGTAGCTGAGACTCGCCACTTTTAATCGACCAATATATTCCTGAAAACAACAATTAAATTCGCTGAAGAGACAGAAGAAAAGCTCTCCAAACCTACTTATACTGTACAATAAATTCTTGCGGACTTTAACTCAAGTACCTTGGCTCGAAGATCTGGAAATAGTGCAAAATATAAGGCCTTTAATGGCTCAGAAATTATGTTGAACGGTACCACAACTAAGTGCATGCGTCTATACTGTTCCTCAATAACTGCGCGTGAGAATTTCCACTCCATTTCTGCGTTAGACTATGTATAAAAAATTAATTAATAAATTAGTAAATTAAAAGAGATAATCGAGCGTATAAATAAACGAATGGTAACGGAAATGATCAATATATTCTCGGTTCACAGTATTACAAAAAAAAAAGCAAAAAACAAAAACAAAAACAACAAAAAAAAACAAACCAAAAAAAACCAAGGTAAGCAATTTCAAAGGATGGATATATGTTATTCACCAACCGAGAGGTCCGTATTGGGAAAAACTGTGCCCGAGGTTTTGGATCAGTGCTCAAGACAGAGGGCAAGGTATTTCCTTATACGGACGGACCTGAGCTGGTGAATAACATTTCTATTTTTTTTTCCGGAAACTTACAGAAATGCTTGCAAAAGGAAACCGAATGATTAAGAGCTGTAATTAAGGCAAGATCCTCCATAAACAAAACATTTTTCAGCAAGTGGGTGGTATAGAAAACAGAGGTAATGCAAATTGAAGGCTTCACCAAAACATTATTCCATTTCCGCATGGACGAGAAAACTTTAATTTTTTTTTAACCGAAAATAAGGGGGTTGGGGGGGGGGGGCGGGCCCCGAATATTTTGAAGTTGTGAGTTTGTTTGTTGCAATGGAGAGGGAAAATCTTTTCTTTCTTTCCGGATGGGAAAACGTGGACCGCTGGAGCTCGTGGAATCAACCAATCAGATTCGAGGATTTTGGATACCGGACCGCTGAGATGCTTGAGAAAAAAAAAATACTATTATTTTCTGGAAGTAAATTAAATTTGGTCTATTACAAGGAAGTCTTGAGTGTTCTGATTGGATCTTATTGGTCCGCTCTTTGTCACTTGAACCGTTTCCACGGAGACCGTGTACATCTTGTTGCGAAAGCCGGCAAAATAATCAAGAATGGTACGAGTACCATATAGAATACTCGCTCGTAACGTCCGCTTTATAAACTCTTCGCGTTGGCCAATCTACATTATCATCTCAGTTGACAAAGCCAAGTTATCTTACCGACTAACTTCGATTGCTCGAGCCACATTGGGAAATAATGGCCCTTAGCCTTTTTTCGTACGAACCTGGCTGCGCTCGGTCCACACTGCCACGACCTCAGGCCAACACTCCCCATTACAGCCCTCGTGCTCCGTTAGTAAGAAGTCGCAGAGCGTAGCCCCATAATTATACAAAATAGTAGTAACCCATCAAGCCGAAAAAATTTGTATGTACGACCGTACGACGATGCTACTTTTAGCATGCGCGGCCAACTGTATTACGGGCACTATCTTATAATCAGTCCTCTACACGAACACGGAGAAGTTGTGAATGAAAATCCATTAATATAACCACGCACTTTATCCATAGTAGGGGCTTTAGTTTTGTTGAAGAGACGTGCGGGGGAAAAAAGCGAGCTCCGCTTTTAGGCTTGCCTAAATCTATATATTAATGACCTCTTTTTTCATCAACCATTACCTTGTATTTGTCATATGTGGTTGTCAACAAGGCTACCAGAGTATTAACCAACATAATGACTGACAAAACCAGGAAAACCAAGTACAAAAAAACAACGATGTCCGAAGTCAACCTAGTGATGGATTTCATCTCCTCGAAATGGGTCATTCCAAATATAGACCAGACTAGCTGCCTTGCAGACTTGAGGAAACTGAAAGAAATACGCGAAACTGTCAAAGCGTTTTGAAATGATGATTAGCTTTGTTATTCTTGAACTATGTTAAGATAAGATATAATGATATGAGACAAGAAGAGATGAAACAAAATAAGTGATAATTTAACTATCAGCGTAGTTGACTTACCACTTCAAACTGCCTTCAACGCAGTACCTTAAACAAGATTAAAAAAGAAAAAGCAACAAAAACACTATTATATTAAGATAGAACTGGATATTACTTTTAAAGAATGAAATTCTGCGTTGAAACGGCCAATAACACTTCGTAAAATAGTGCTTCACCTTTCAACGGAAGAAAAGACAACTCAATCGACCCACCCACGGATAGTACATTTAGAAGCTAGCAAAGTGAGGAAAGGATTTCTTTTTCGAAGGCATGTATTTTCGGAGCCTCAAACAAAAGTTAAATAAGGGAAATTCGTTTAGTAAAGCACTGCAGAAATAAAGTATGGAGAAGTGGCAGTACAAGTGAGAACAGTAAAGTCTATGTTACTTCTTGTACCATTCGCTTCTAGATATGAATATAGATCAAGCACTTTTCAAGACTGGTAGATGATGATTTAAATGTTTTTATATCAGATATTGATTTTGCGTTCAAAAATCGCTATGCGTTCGGGTTTTTAAGGAAACTTTATGTTGTTTAATTTTAAAAAGTTCTTACATATTAAATTTTCCTGATTTCAGACAGGCTAAAATGATTTCCCCTTTTTTTCTTTTGAGTCACAATCCCCTCAAAGTAATATAAGACGAAAACAAAGGAACTTACTCTACATTATTTGATCCCCTGTTCAACGGCGTCAGGAACGATATCTCAGCTGTGTAACACTTTGTGATGGCCAACGAGAATGCGGCAATAACAAAACCAAACTGGATAAGTATGACCAGTAAGTCAAGACACATGCGAAACAACGCCAGTTGTAGTGGACCAATAACTGAACTGAGCTCTAGGATGCTGGAAAATCTTAGAATAAGAAGCATGCCATCGAACCCATAACCGTAATTAGCGAGTTCCAACAAACGATTTTTATAGGGATCACCACCAATAATAACAGTTGCGATTCGAATTGTAATGACGAAGGCATAAACGAGCAATATCAACAAATCCAAGTAGTTCCACATGTCTCTGACAAAAGAAAAAAAAACAAAAAAAAAAACACACAATTTTTATTTGGCTCTAGAATGCCTTCAAACCAAGACCTCAGCTCAGATATATCAATTTGCAAGGCTAAGTTTCATATATCATGACTTTTTAGGGCCAAACAAAAATTTGGTCTATTTTATACCATACAGGTATTTTGACGAAACTCAAATTAGCCTTGAACGCCTTACTTATTGTAGAAAAAATCTGAAGTACGGTTTGTAATTCTCAGAACCCAAATAAAAATTTATTTATTCTTCATATTCATCATAAAAATAAATCTAATAGGTCAAAACAAGTAATTTGCAATTTTTTTTCAATAATGGCCTCTAAGTACATGAAAACTTAATTCTAGCGAGAAATTCTCTTAGAGAATGTTGTAGACAATATAACTCCGACCCTTTTAAGCTTTTAAAATACACAATTATGTTAATTTTTCTCAGATATATTCAATTTACAAGGTAGGACGAAAATTACCTGCTGGATGAAAAAATGCCTTTTTAGAGGATATTTGTAGCTTAGACACCTTAAATGTTCAAAAAGTTGTATTTTTTCTTCGGTTTATTACAATTCAGGTCCTGGTGGTCATTTTGGTGTGTTAAACACCTATGTAGACCCACGGAAAGTGAAAAAATTTTGTAAAGTACATTTTGAGACCAAAGGTTGACTATTACTGCACACCACGTCAAAATTGTTTTCGCTTACGTAACCTTATAAGGTACTCAAAATTCTCACAGAAAAACCCAACGAGGATATCTGATCTTGATTCAGGATAAAGAATTAAGTAATACCTATTAAGTAGCCTAAATAAAGTGTTCAACTAGTTCTTATTTGAAACAAACTTGAGAGAATATGAACAATATGCCCTCTTCTAATCCGGATTCGTATTAAACTTTTTTTAGCATTGAAAACTCTTAGCCCACTTACAATTAAAATACTATCTAGGAGACTGTGACCATGAAGGAGGATTCTGCTAAGGATAACGACAAGGATGCTAAGAAAGATGAGGAGTGAAAGGATTCTAATGAAAAGAAGACTCCTAACAAAGATACCCCGAAGAAAGATGAGAAGGTAGAATTTTACATATGAGTCATTCCATGTCAACGAGACTGCCTATCCGACAAAAAAAAAATAGATTTTGCTCGAATTTTTCTTGGTGTTAGTATCGATTATAAAAAGCTGCTAGATAACCATTCTTTGGGTTTCAATCAAATCTTGATACTTCTATTTAGTATTTTTCTGTGGGAGGTGGAAAATCGGGGGTTTGCTAGAGTCAATTTTTGTACTTTTCAAAATTGGATAGCTCCCTCAGTTTTTAGATTTGAAACAAGCTATATACCTAATTTTTCTTCTCTCATAACATACTTTTTAGGGGTCTTTTTTTAATTTCAAAAATCTTGAAAAATAAGGGTGTTGATATCTCAATCAATGATATCTCTCATTTTGAAAAATATTGATTTGGTCACAACTTTCTTATTATCTGGAGTCCAGATAAGTTTGATATCTCAAATTTTTCTTGTCTGGCCATGTACCTTTGATCTGAATATGCTATTTTAGAAAAATTTCAAGAATAAGTGTGTCCCAAAAATATCCTTTTTCCAATTGTTTTACTAATAAGAAGAAAACAATGTTTCTTACGGTGTTTATCTTATAAAGAACTTGTTTAAAGTTATCAAATGCATACTTCTCAACACTCCATTATTGGGTTTTGGTAAATGAAATTTGAACGCCGCGCCTTGTAAGGAAGGCTATTCCGACATGTAGCACCACTATAACTAAAAATATTTTTGAAGTTATTTGCGCGTGATAATCGAACATTAAGTTTTCTCTCAGAGTCCCACGGGTCGTACCTTGTATTGCGTACAGAGAATTTCGAAGTTCAATGGTCCGGAGCTAACCTATGGAGCCATTTGAATATCATGGTGGCTTATGTTCCGCTGGCGGTCAAGATTTTTTCACCCCTAAGTTTCTAGCAGGTTTTTTTACCCCAAAAGTACCAAACTTAATAACTGACTTTCTAGAGCACTTTCGAAATATCTATCCATATTTTCAACAACTCTGAGTATTGTGTGATAATGCTAGGAAAAACATTTTCGTGAAAAAGACGGTAGCTTTGAGTGATAACGATACGCACCATTTAGATGTGTCCACGAAAGCACCAGGTAGTCATGCTACATGTCATCTCACCGATTTCAATGAAACTTCGCCAGTTTAAAGGGTCCACCCCAAAACTCAAAAAGACAAACTGATTTCTGTTTTGGTTTTTTTCGGGGGGAGATAGACCAACACCCCCCCCGTTTTCTTGGTTTTGACTGGGGAAATCGTTTTTACATCCTTAGTAAATGTCCCACACGAGCATCAGTCAACTTGATTGACGGCTTGTTAATCAACAGAGGTAAAGAAACGACTGTATTTTTTAGACTTTTCGATTCATCCAAATATTTGAAAACTTTGAGGTCAAATATCTCCCCTTCCCGGAAAGCTACAACACAAATTTTAATTTCCCTTCATAATCCATCCTTTCATCTCTGAAAGCCTCAAAAAATCTTTGGGTGCTACTGGAGTTTTGTCTTGGATGCCTTTTAAAATCTGCGACTGTGACACGCTTCTCTTAACTACACCTGTCACGCAATTCTGGATCTGGGCGGTCAATTGACCAAATAAACCTACATTTTTTAGCTCTTCATACAAGATAATTGATCTCAAAAGTAAAAAGTGTGAAAAACTTTCGAGATTTTTTGTAGGAATGGAAAATTTCACGTTTAGAGAGATGCACGTAGGCGAAAAATTGATGGGAAAATCAAAGCGTTTCTTTCTTCAGTCGTCTATTACTTTGGAAACCAAAACAGAAACCAGTTTGTCTTTTTGAGTTTTTGGGAAGACCCTTTAAACTAGCGAAGTTTCATTGAAATCGGTGAGATGACATTTAGCACGACTACCCGGTGCTCTAGTGGACACAGTCTTAAGCGTCTGCGTGACCCTGGCTCACTACCAAATATGTAGTTCAATTGGTAGGACATGTTATCACGAGATCAGAAATGCGAAAGGTCAGTTGCATCATCAAGCAGAACTCACCTTTCCCTTTTTTTTTGGAAACTAACCTGTGCGAAAATGGTTTTGCAAAAGTTTTTCTTTAAGGCACGTTTCCTAGCATATCAAAACCAAAGAAAAAAACAGCAACAACAACAACAACAAAAACAATAATGACGACAACAGCAGCAAAAACCCCGACTGATTCCAATGCGGACCACAAGTGAGCAGCAGTCTACAATTATAACGCGTGCCTTAAGGTCATTTACCTTAAATAAACCTTCGATGCTGAACTTCGATACTGTCGGATCTCGCTAAGAAAAAATCCAATAAAGAAGACTAATATAAAGCTCTCTTCAGCGGTTGGAGCGACAGACGAACCAATCATGGATATCCGAAAGAAGAGTCCAATGAAGGTCAGTTGCATAAATTGAGTCTTCATGAAAATAACGTAGGGAGTCTCGAGGTAATCTCTATAAATGACTATGGAGTAAATAATAGTAAGGTAGATTAAATATTTCGCGTTCGCAAAAATTGCATCAAATCTCAACTAGTATCAGGCTTTGAACGTCTTCACAGCTCTTACAAGCACTGAAGGAAACGTGTACGGTAAAAACTCGGTCTAAAGTCATTGTAGACATACAGACAAGCATTTTGAATAAAATTTGATTCTACCAGAAGCAAAAACTTTTCATATGCACCACGTCCGTGCAGTATGAAGCTAAGGTTTTTAACATGGCTCTTACTATGACACCATATTTTATACCAAGCCTGACGTCTTCAAGCAGATGCATGCACAATCCTAGCCTCGCCACAGTCAATAAATGGTTTGAACCCAGGGGTAATTTTCCAACTGAGGATAGTCATATAAAGGACTTTATCGTAAGTGGTAACTGACATTTTCACAACCTGAGTGGAAGCTACCATCAGAGTGAGGTGAGGAACTGTCTATCGAGTGTCAGAAGTCTGGTTCGTGTAAACTGATTCGTCAGTTGAGCCGTTACGTCATTGACGATTGAAAATGGAATTTATTCAAAATACCTTGGATTTTGGCCAATTTTGTTCCCTGTTGGATTTTGTATGCAACGTATGCATTCAATGGGAGTAGAACTGGAGTTAGTATTGCGTCAAGCATCATGATCAGCAAGAGAAGAAAGCGATGAGGCAGTCGTGACTGAAAGTCCTCCGATAGGCCAAGTTTCCATCGTTTTTCTACTCTTTTGAAAATGAATGGATGGGATACAAACTGCAAAATAATTGGCAAGTTGTGTATAATAAATGAACCAGGTAGTGAAAATTAAGAATTAAGTAAAAGTTATAGCGCACCTTTTTCCGTCCTTTAGCAATTGCTTTAGCCGTCATCTCACTGCACAGGGAGGCGTAGCGGTCCGCAGCTTCATCATGTAATTCTTTTTCCTCAATTCGTTTCACTTGGTCCAATAAATCATAAGCAAAGTCATCCACTCTATCAGCTAACTTTTCAATCGCTTTCGTCTTCTCCGTACTTGTCTCGGCGATTTGACAAAGTTTTATATGAACCTGCATAAAGAGAACAAAAATGAACAAATGATAAATTGAACGATAAAATTATATTACGCATAAAATCCTTGGCGGCACTTCACTCGAAACTTCACGAGTTTCAAATGATGGCTAGAGATCACAAATTTCAACTTATATTTGTTTGGATACCAGGAGTTCAAGAGATTTATTTCTCATTTCCACTTCAGATTTACTAGTAAACAGTATATATTCTACTAAAGCATCCCTTCATCTCAGCTCATCCACAAATAATGCGTTTAGGGCGCTGTTAGCGATATATTTGATTCTCATCATCACCCGACAATATGGTGTTGTTCCCTCAGATGTCCACTTGTTACTGACAGACCGTTGTGCTTTCTTTCAGGGACTCACGCCTGATTAGAAGGACGTTTCATTTGAACATGTTGAATGGTTTATCCAGCCCAACAGGTGTACCAGGGGATCATGATCAATGAAATTAACCATGAATCACAGGAAAAAAGTGTTTTGTTTTGTTTTGTTGGCGTGTTCTAGGACCGCTGTCTTCTCAACAACATCAACACCACGATAGATTTTCACCAACGACGGCGGGCCAGATGAGGGCTCGTAGTAGTTTATTCTCTTCACCTTACGAAGCATAGCAGCATTCCTCCAAAACTTAGTTATGTACAAGTAATACTAACGATACATCTTGGAAAGCCTTCATTAAATAATTATTAACAAATTATTAACCTCAGGACGGTACTGAGCGATGTCTTTTAAAGAAAACTAAACAGCGACAAAAATTCAACGTGCACATGCAACTCGCGTAGCGTACGCGTAACGTACCTTAAATGCTTTGTCGATAGGATCTTCTTCATCGCAGAGGGCGCTTGCTGTAACTACTTTCTTTATATCTTCCCAATCACATTTTTCCCCTTCCTTAAGAAAGTCTTCAAGAGAATTGATTTTCTGACCTGAAATAAAGAGCACATTTGCAAATCAATTTGAAGATTATCTGTGCTCTGTGTCATTAAAACAGGAATGAAATGGCCAGTTTGGATTTCCAGTAGTCCGTTTTTTGAATGCTTGGTGAAAATAATGGCCATGATTAGAAATGATTATCTGACAAATCATATTCAACTAAATGTTGCTTTAACCAGGAAAATGAAAATTTTTCGACTGAACATGCTACTAACAATGGGTATTGTGGAGTTTTTCACGGTCATACATACGTCTGTAAATACTAGTAAAAAAAAATATTCAGATTGTCATTTTTAAGTCTGAGTTCTCGTGCATGTCGTTAGCTTCAAATGTTTATACATCGACATACTCGTCATTCTCGTACAACATGGATTATTTTTCCAATCAAAGTCGATGGGCTTTGCCTAACAACGAAATAGTCATCCTGAAGGAATAACAATAAAATAAGAAAACTCCATTGGCGTGCTTGCTTGACGTTAAGTCTATTTGAATTCAAGGCCAGTCGAACTCGCGAATAGATTTCTTGTATTCCACATTCGATCGAATTCTAAAGCACGGCATTTCTGATTAAGGGCGGGATTAACTTCACTGGGCTTACATTTATCTTTCTCACCATCAAATTTAGGTTTTGGTCAAAAAGAAATTGATCTGGATAGATCGAGGTAAAAAAGACACATAGGATTATGAAGTTGAATGGCGTTGTTACCATTGGGAACTTACCTTCTCCCATTTTTTTAGGAAAATCCACTCCTAATGAACTTACGCCCATCCAGCTTCCTGTGAATGAAAAAATGCATCATAGCAATCTAGTACCTCGCCTTTGATGCATAGAGTCTAATTCCTCTAATTTTTGCGATAGCGAAAGCTGAAGTTCTTTGCGAACCACTTGTAAGAATTTAGAAGTGGTGGCATCTAAATTTAGATATAATCCTCGAAAGGTTAATCTCGAACAATTTAATCTGGAAACTGAAACAGAGGTTAATTTTTTTCGTCAAGTACACTCTTTTGTAGTGGGCATGAATTTTTTTAGCTTCTGGACCCAGTTAATCAGAAGATAACAGGAGATAAATAAGTTTGAAGGGTCCACCTTACAATGAAGATGAAAACTGAAGGGAAAATATATGCACTTAAAACTATCCGCATAGCTATTAAAATAAATAAGAAACTTGTCGACCAACTCTCGGTTAGCTTAAACGTGCTTCGAACGACCCAGCCTTAAAGCTTAACTCTTCATCGTTGCGTTTTCCACTGATATTGACACGAGGCAAGTTATGCCTGACTTTAAAGAACCTTCCTAGTTCATTCTATTAAGTTTGATTAAGGAAAAAGGACATAACATCTTCTCTCATAACCTTACCCTTACCGCACAACGTATTGGATGCTAATAGTATTGGTCGACTAGCATCATTCTTAACTTTTTATTGTTTTGAGAATAAGAAGAAAAACAACAACAATTGGTCAGAGCAACGTCATTCACAGACGCTTAAACCCTACAAATGAATTTTAATGTAGCTTTTTCTTTAAAGCTAATTGCGAAAAAAGTAAAGAGTACCTTCTGTAATAACCTTTACTCTTACCGTGCGACTCACGGGATGCTGATGCAGCTGGTAGATTGGCATCATTCTCAACTTTTTAGCGTTTTGGGAATAAGAAAGCAAAAAAATGTTTGAGCAAATATCTCTTAGCTACTTAAACCCTGTGAATCAATTCCATGCAGCTTGTTCTTATGATGTCCATTCATTATCCACAACAAATATATCACAAGCGTTGCCAATTCATTGGCATCTTCATCAAAAAAAGCTTACCCTCAAAATCGAATTCCCAGGATTCTGATGTGGTTGGTAGATTAGCGTCATTCTCAACTTTTTAGCGTTTTAAGAGTAAGAAAGAAAAAACATTAATCAAACTGAGCAAAATTATGTAAGGCTACTTAGCACCTATTAATTAATTCCATGCATCTCAGCTTCTCCTTACGATATCACTACGTTATCCACTACAAATCTGTCTCGAGCGTTGCCAATTTATCGGCTAAAGAGCGCAATCCTGTCGTCAAACAGATTTGTATGAGGCTGGCAGACATGCTGGACGTGTCAAATTATCATAAATTTTCCAAGCTTTGTTACTTGAATCCCACAATCCCGAATGGGCCCTTTTAAAAGAGTTATGTTGCGTTATTCCTCCAGCGGAAGACCACTGAACTACAACTCTTTAATCATGCCCATATTCAAAATATTAGCATGGTTCTTGCATGTTCCTGGGTGAGTGGAAATGTTAGAATTAAAAAGTGGAATGTAAAAAATCAGAAATGAAGAGGAAGTTGGTAGGTGAAAAGTGGGGAGTAAAAAATTCCTAGGATCTAATACCTCCATGGTTGTCCAACCCTTCCATGATGTCACCTTTGGAAGCAAAAAATTTCAGTAGGTTATCAGTATTTCCTTCGCTCATTTCGAGCTTAACGCATTCTTTAAAAAAAGAGAAAAATAGTGGAGTCATTGAATTAGGAGCATAAAGTATAAATAATTATAAAAATGATAAAAGGCTATAATCAAAGGTTCAGACAAAAAGAAGTAAGGGAATAGACCTATGCAAATAGGATTATAGCAGTTTTTTTTTTACACGATTATGCATTGCTTGCTATCGAAAAAACAAACAAATATTAAAAAAAAATCAGAACAAAGCAAAATCAAAGCAAAGAAATTGTCTTAGTAGAGGTATGTGGAAAACATTGTGTGAAAAATATGCCCTAAAAAATCAGGTGGTCTTAACTCGACTTATTACATGATAATGATTGTAACTGGCAAAGCTTAGCTAAATCAGTAATCGTAGCTTCTTTGGGTTGTAGCCGTGACTTATCATTACCCCTACAAAGACTACATTAGAACTAACAACTACTAGTCACGGAATTGTAAATTTCGATCGCTCAGAGTTGCCAAATCAATATAAAGCCATGAAAGTCAGTTTGTAGCATAGTAGAAATTTCATAAACTTTCATTTTCTAAAACGAAAGATATCATGTTCTCCTTAAGGGCGGAAAAAGCCAATTATTTTCAAACGTGTATGATTAAATCCTAGGGATATTCACGACATGCAATTCTTTTCCTGTGTCAGTTCAAGCCATATAAATCTTATGCGAAGAAAACAAAGTTGATCAGTGCACCTTAAAAGATAACAAATACCAATTGATTGGCTGCTAAAACTTGCCTCGTGGAAAAGGTACAGACTGATTTGGAAGCAGATCGGGGTGCTGTTGCTGCACTTTGTTTCCTGAAACGAATGTGTCTCGTACGTTCAAATAGAGTGTGTTTGTTTCCATTTGTCGCTTGCATTTAATTCCATTTGCGTAAGACACAAAAGACCGGATTTGACGTCTACACAGAAACACGAATTGCTTATCGGTTACCGTGAATCGCTCACCGTGACAAGGAACGGCTCACAATACACCATTAAGCAACACAATAACATCCCATTACAATTTCACGCCGATTTAAGTGTGTACCCTAAATTTTGGGGTTATCAAGTATTCATATATTCACACACTTGATTAACTTTTAATCTCCATTTTTACTTAATGAGTATCAAATTTCTCCAAAGGCGTTTCGAATACTTAGTCAAAGTAATTAAAACAAGAGGGAAATAAAAAGACACTTTGCGAAACAAGCGGGTTTCAAAACATAATTTTATAATGGATCTATTATAAGTTAGCGTAAGCTAACAACACGCAATTTATCTCGGTGTGGGGTGTTTGTGAACTGACTGAGAGTGATGTAAAAAAAATAAAATTTATAACGAAATCTATTTAAGAACAATGCTTTGATTTTATATGGGATAATTTTTATAATTTCCGCCGAGTGAGAAAGTAATAAAGTGCAAAGCCTACAAGT